AGTATATAATATATGTATATTATATTATATTAATATATAATATAATATATATATAATATACAAAATATATATATAATATACAAAAAAATATATATATAAGTCGTCTTTCTGAAAGTAGAAATTTCATCGCATAAGAATGAATTTCACGTTATGTTAAAATTTATAGAAACCATCTGGAAGTGGTACAAAACCAAAAGATATGGCTGAAGTCAAAAAAGCCAAATCTAAGAAAGAGGCAAAACCAAAAGAAAAAAACACGACAGAAATGAATAAAAAGGTAAGAATGTTTTGTTGGAAACAAGCAAAAAATTGATGATCTCTTCTCAATGATGAAAAGAGAGTGCTTGCGTCATCATCATTTTCCAAAAAGCGTTGTCTCCTGTCCTCTGAGCTATGTACATTGCTGTTTTGTAATGAATGCGTTGGATAACCGGGCAGCCTTCACCTGTACATCATTGATACCATAAGCTGAAAATTGCTATTTTGACCTATCGAATGAAAATTTTTCAAAATTTTCCGAAATAAATTTCTGAGTTTTAATAATTAACTCTGATCAGAGTCATATTTCTTGAATACATTTTTTCTGTAATTAGTTCGAAAATCTTGGGAACTACTTTTTAGAGTGCGCTGAAAACATACTATTATTTCACTTGCCAAATTACTTTCTAATTTGTTCAGGGATTGGGATCCAGAAAGCGAAAAATGGAATCTGATGACAATGATGATGATGACGATGGTGACGTTCCTCCTAAACCAGCTTCTTCACGTCCTCGTGAAAGAACTCGACAGATTAAGGCAGTTAAATACACCTTTGATGATGATGATAATGATGATGACATTCCTGGATTTTCTGATAATACACCATCACCACACCGGATGAAGCGACGAAAGAAGATTGAAAGTGATGAGGAATTTGAGTTAAGCGGCTAAGAAATCTCTTTATGTAACCTGTGATCATTTATATTAATGAACAGTCATTTACCGATTAATTTTGATTTTTGTTCATCCTAATGCAACTGGAATATAATAACTGATTTTCTATTATTATAACCTGTAATTCAAACGGTTATCTACTTACTTCGTACCTCGTTTTATACAGTTTTTCTGATTTTAGCAATATAATTTGAGCTTGTTATATGCAGTTTTATTCGAAATAATATCAACCTAATGACTTCACCACAAAGAGACCTCAATTTCACTGCTTTCTCAGTTATGCAACATTTTATGTGCTGGTTAATTCAAAGCGAAATAACTCGTTCAAATCTCTCAATTTCTGTGTATAACTCGTTCAAATCTTTTAATTTCTGTGTATATTACTTTTGATCTCGGGATTCTCTGCTATTTTATCCATTATTTGTTTCTTTTGTTTATAAAATATCTATGTTTCTTTTCTGATGAAAACTTTTTTCTCCCTTCCCACTTCAATTAATTTTATTTTTCGGTATTCATGATATAACGATAAAAACGTCTTGTTTCGTACGCTTTAAATGTGTAACTAATAGTGCGAAATGAGGCGTTTTCAAATTCATCATTTTGCCTATCATTTTTTTATTTTGGACACCTATGAAAATATAATGTTTGTAGAAGGAAGAAATTGGCTATGATTCAATGTTGGCGGTATTGAGTAGTATCAGAAAATTTTGTAATGAAATTTATAATTAGAAGGTTCAAGCTGAGGTGATTCTATATTTGAATTTTAGATATATCAAGACTAAAGAACCGCGTAATCCAACGTTTATAATCTGATATGATCACTTCATTAGGGTTAGAGGGGTAATGAAGTAAACACATGGAGATAGATTTGTGAAACTTTCAAATCGAATCATGCATCCGTTACCGCACGTTTGTTGCCTAAGAGCAGCAATCTGAATTAATAATTTATTTGAAAAAACTAAAGGGATGAATAAAAGGAAATGTTTGAACAGTGGCAATTCTTCCCTAAGGGTTTGTAACCTACCGCACTATAAAAATGGAAGTAGCGACAAGGTATCATCGTATACCTTGCAGGAGAGCAAGCAGATATGTTACATTTTTACCCAACAGATTTACCGAGAAAGAATTTTGGAGAGAGAGAGAGGGAAAAGCGATAAACTAAGGAGAGAAAAAGGGAGGGAGAACTCTTTTCAATCCATTTTTCAATGAAAATACTGAGGAACGGGTAGATATGGCCAAAAATGTGGTCAGTTAAGAGTACAGTTTGTTTACTGATTTTAATGTTAAAATGATGGACGAAATATATTGACCGTGTCTTATTTTTTTGCTTCTTGCATCATTAACTGTATCTATTGATGGCATAGAGGTAAATTTATTTGATTTAATTTGTTGACAGTACTATTAACAGAACTGCATCAGTATCTATTGATCTCTAAATAGTAAATTGTCTAATTACAATTAGATGAATGTAAGTTTCCTAATTAGATGAATGTAAGTTTCGACGAAAATAGCACTATATGTGAAATTGAATGTCCTATATGGGCTTCATTAAGAAAAGGCAAATATTTCATTTGAAATCCTTTCACTTAAGCTATCTGTGGTTTGTACTATAAGATATCATGTTTGCCTGAATATTATTCTCTAATTGTCACTTTCTCATTACAATGAAATGCTGACATCAATTTTAAAGAGGAACTAATCAATTTAATTTGTTCAGATTGAAAATTTAATTCTTCTTTACGGCACTCTGAACGTTGCTCCTCAATGATTTCTACTGGAATAACATTTGGTTCTCATGAAATATGTCAAAGAAATTTTAATTAAAAGTAACCTTTACTTCAGAATCAATTTCTGTCCAGAAGTTCACGCATACGAGTACAACGAAAGTGTTCATACACAATTCAAACACCCTTTTGCAATTGCAAACAGATGAGTTAATTAATAGAAGAGAATTTAATTGTATCGCCTGCTTTGAGCATCACTGATATTTTTAATTTCCATAATTGCAAATGGAATTTGCATACAATTTAAAAGAGTTTCGTTATAGAACATGCATGAATGTCAATGTAACTGCAATCGCACATTATCATGCATACCTTATCAATCTCCCTGTCAACAGTCATGCGTTAATACCTGCGCGCAGTACTATCAAATTAAAATAAAGTTCGTTTATTTGCATATACGAAGTTAGGAGTGTTTTTTTGCACAAAATAAAGAAAGCTTTATGTGTTGCAGATGCAATTCAGTGTGCAGTTTTATATGTGGGCAAGCGTGCAGTGAATTGATTTGTAAACCGGTAATTTGGATTTTTGAATTAATGAGCTCTGTATGCAAACTTTCCAACTAATCTGAACATAAATCCATTAGCAACTTAATTTCAACTTATGCGCAAATTTTTAATTGGATGAAATTGAAATAGCATCTTATTAATAAAGTATCGTTTGAGGAGAACATCAATCAAAAGCTTATTGGAGATCTCAACCGCAAGTTAGCTGCATGCAGATATGCCCACAAAAGTGCATGCCTACTTGCATAGCTCAAGATTGGCCACTTTTTTTATGTGAGAAGGAATGTGAACGAACGTGTACTCATACATCCGTAACATCGCCCATGCCATCCTATCAGCCAGAAAGTGCACAGCCAATGCAAATGATGAACTGCATAGCAAAGTGCATGCAAAATTGCGTGGTGATATGTCAGCAATCAAATAATTGTATTTCAAACTGCCAACAGAATTGCTTGCGGTGTCAATGGCAGCAGCAACCTGTGTTCACGTCAGTTTCCCTCACGCCGCAGCATCTATCCTGCAATCAGAACTGCCCCACTGTTTGCATTTCCTCATGTATGTCTAGAACATTCTCATCACACTTGTGCATGCCGTTATGTCAACTAGCGTGTGCACAGGCATGCAACATAAATCATAAGTCAATGGTATCATCAACTACTCCAAGTTACCAACCAGTGCCATTTCCGGTTAGCTGTCAAGGTATGTGCCAGAACACATGCATGAGATCATGCCGTAATTTGAACTGGACCGAATCATTTTGCCATAGTAGCTGTCAACAGGATTGTAGACAAGCATGCTACCAAACTGCAATCGTATCGCATCCGATTGTTATAACCGATACCCGCAACAATAGCCACTCGTCCACACGCCTTTTTTTTTAACTCTACAACTTCGTGCATCATGCCTTGTATGCCACTTTGTTTACCGGAATGCATCAATGACCGATCATTACTTCTCGTACAACACCACCAAGTTCAGTACACCAGCATGAATTTACCACACAAGGGCAAGTACCGGTGACAGAATGTTGGCATCAATGTTTCAAGTCAGTAAATAATTATGGTATCGTTCTAGAAGTTTTGTGATCTGCTCTCTTGTTCTTGTTGAGTTCTTGCTGGACTTCAAAAAATCCCAATAGTCTGAATTTCCTTTCTTCAGATTATATTAATGGTGAGGACAAGCCTAATAGAGTCGAATTCGAAGAAATCTAAATTTAAAAGCATTTGCTAAAAATTATCTAAATCATCAAGAGGTAAATTCGTTTTTTTGAATTAAATTAAAAGTTCACTGCATAGATTAATATATAGTTTTCAGTAATTGCTTAAATGTATGTGTTAATTCCGGTCATCCAGTAAGAGCATGTGATTCAAACTGTAAGATTGATTGTGAACAAGTTTGCTCACTACCATCGAAATCAGAATCTGTATCCGTGATGGATCAATCCTCTGTTCAACAATCAAACATTCAAATAACACAACAGATGTTTGCTCAGTGTAACTCTAAATGTTGTCAGTGTAAGTTTAACCAATTTTTTCATATTTACTTTTGCTGTATAAATATTTGCTAATTTAATTTTAATTCTATTTTATTTTTACTCAAAAATTTATTTATTTAAATTGAATTTTAGCTTGTGTAGCAGTATGCTTAAACGATGGTAGAATACTTCAGCAATGTGTTCCGTTATGTCTAATTAAATGTGATACACAATACCATAATGATGCATTAAGTACTTCATTGGATAATACCTGCACATACTTTGTCAATCCTATCTATCAAGTGCTATATGCAAATAGCTATCAGTGTCAGCAGATTTGTCAACATGGTATTTTTTTAAAGAGCATACATTTTCTTTCCAAATTTGTATTTTTAAAATATTTCAAGTATTGAATAGATCATAATGTTATATGGTCGATAATCAAGATTTTGCATTCAAATTCGTTATTTGAATTATCATAGATAAATAAGAAATATGTCACCGATTAGGAATGAAGAGATTTATAGGAAGCTGATATTTTTATTGCCGTAGAGTAATCAAATTTTATCATGAATTTCGCTTTTAGGTTGCCAGATAAATTGTTCCTCGAGCAGCTTAGAAGTAATGAAGAATTGCATAGCTTTATGTCATGCTAATTGCCAGAAGAGATTGGCTGCTTCATCTTCACTTTCTTCTATCTCAAAGATTCCGACACCAACAGAAGTATCACTTCAGACAGCTTGTACCGTTGATTGCATGCCAATGTGTTCTTTGTTATGCATTAACATGCAGTTGCAAATGCTATCTGTGGTTAGTATTTTCTACAATTCTTACAGCCACGGTTCCGAAATAGATCTTTTTTTTGCGTCAATTATCACTGATCGATGAATGATATAGAAGGAAAACAAAGGAATTAATCGGAGGACTGTTAGGAGACAGAAAGGTTGGTAATCGATTGCGAAATATCAAATATTTAAACTTTCTTAGCCAATACGAAGATATAATTTTAGAATTTTAAGATTTATTGCTCTTAAAACTTTAGATTTAGTTTAATGACCTTCCATGGATGATAAAATATATGTATTATTATAGGTAAGCACGACACCGTTACCAGCGGCAGTTCTATCATTGTTACGAAGTTGCAAAACGAAGTGCATAAGCGATTGTTTGCAGCAATGCATGCAGATTAAACTTACCATTGCTATCTGCCAACCAGCATGTAAGTTGCAGTGCGGTAAAACTTGCGATTAATACTATTATACTGTTGCTACTGCTATTTTCAATGCTGAATTTATCAAAATAAAATCGAAGGGAGAATTATGAAAATGAAATACTGGCTTATTATCACTTATCTGGATATTTAAATCTAAAAAAGCACCGCAGCTATGCATCAATATTGCACATCCAAAGATCATTTGATTGATACTTCTAATTTAAGTTGTTAATATTAGTTCATATAAATTCGAAATTTGGAGATTCAAAATTAAATAATTGTAAAAAGTTCGATTATTTTTTGAATCACGACAGCCACTTATTTCGAAGTTAACTGAATCAATTTTATACTTTACTTTTTTCAACTATCGAAATTGTAAAGTGATATTGTTTGAGAGGAAAACTGTTATGTGCGTTCTTTGAAGCGTAAAAATTTTAGATAAAAATTTGAAACTTTAAATGTGTAAAACTTTTTGAGGAAAAAAGAAACAATACCGAATGCCTTAAAAACTAACGAGTGGACGATTTTACACTCAATTGGATTTATAAGAAGTTTGCATTGCTCTTTTTGATTGAATATAACTTGAACAACAATTTCCCTTTCCTTTCCGTTCCTTAGAAACGGTATGAGAATTTCTTTATAAAAACATGAAAGAAAGAAATCAATTCAAATCCATTCCAAATTGAATTTTTATTAAAAACGATCTGTCAATTTGTTTGAAATACTGTATGGTAGAATTGATTTGATTTGCCTTTTTGGCTAAAAAATAAAGTTTTCATTTTCTAAAACAATAAAAATTATTGTTTGTGGAACAAGTGTTTCTTTAACAATAACAATTACTTATTGTTTGTGAAATGAGTATTTCTTCAACAACAACAATTACTGTTTGTAAAATGAATATTTCTCTAACAATAAAAATTATTGTTTGTAAAGTGAATATTTCTTTAACAACAGACAATTACTTATTGCTTGTGAAATGAATATTTCTTTAACAATCACGACTACTGTTTGTGAAATGAATATTTCTTTAACAATAACAATTACTGTTTGTAAAATGAATATTTCTTTAACAATAGCAATTACTGTTTGCAAAATGAATAAATGATGTAATCAGTAAATTAACAGGAGATCATCTGGTGTATGATACCTTTCATATCAGGTAGGCATCATATTACAGTTTCAGTAGATCCATCTATTGAAAATGATTTATTACGAATCAATTTTAAATAATTTTAACAAATACAGTTCTTCATGAAATATCTGTCATTTGTAAATGAATCAAATAATCAAATTTATTAGCAAATATTTAGTAATTCATCAAATATTGATGATCAATGATTTCGCATTCATTGAATGTGATCAACAATCTATTCAAGTATGTAGAAGAAAAGATGATATAATGAAAGATTGAATGAATTGAGAGACTTTTTACTTTTGTTCAATATCAACTTCTAATTCTTTCAAAATAGATAATATGAAATACACTTAACAATTTACCATTGAAGAATTGACATAAATTGCTCATTAAGTCTTTCTATCCACTTAACTATCTATAATAATTCTCTTAATAAAGTTATACAAAGAAATGTAAATATCGAAATGAATTATGATGTACATAAAAATAGATTTAAATCATCCTATCTATTTATATCTAATGATATCTAATGATGATATCTAGCGATATCTAATGATAATATCTAATGATATATCTAATGAAAAGTTCTTACTTTTCAATTCAATAATGATACCATGAATGCATACTTGTGAGAACCGATAATAAAGTGCTGTTTAAATATATTGTTGATTTGAAATGGATTTTGTCAAAATTATTCGGCTATAATATAGATGAAGAAGGACTTCAACGTGTCGGTGCTTCAACGATGTGAGGCAATAGTATTTGGTCATTTCTAACTTTTCCCTTTAAATACTAAACTTTTAATAATTTCAATTAAATCTTCATTCAATATTTAATGTTAATTAACTTTGATGTCTTAGGTTTTATATTAATCATTACTATACTTTTATCATGATAAAGAATATTAATTTTTGAAATATATTTTGATTTTTAAATTCCAGATTAAAAATAATAAGAGCAACAGTTTAAGACTTCCAATCAAACTATTGTGACTAGTTATAAAAAGTAATCAATAAATTAACATGAGGTTTTCTGATACATGCTTCATTTTATATCAGTCAACCTATCATATCACAATAGATTCATCTATTATGATATGATTTATTATAATTAATCTATTAAAAATGATTTATTATAATTAATTTTAGCAAATATACTTTTTGCATAAATTATTAAAGTTCTTTCTATCTTTTCTCTAAATTTTAAATTCAAGCATGAATTTATCATTTTATAAAATGATATGATCCATCAATCTTTAAATGCGGTATATACCTCATATGGTGTTGAATAAATAACGCACCTCTTTTCACTTCTTTGCTCCCTCCCTCTTCTTTGAATAGGTAATTGAACTATCATCGAGAATGAAGGGAAGAATTACTCTCTTCTCATTCAATCATTTCTATGAACAGAAGAAATATGAAGAGATCACCCCTCCTCCCACCTATACCACCCACCTCTCGACCTTATAATGACTCTCCCTCTTGTAGAGGCGGTAAATATCCATCGTGAGCTATTATTATCTTTATATCAATTGTCACTTATCTTCAGGATCAATCAAACTTTACGCTAGACTTTTACGGAAAAAGAAAAAGAACTGCCATCGACGGCATTTCTATTAGTTGATAACACCAGCATTCAATGAATTAGTCATCCTCTTAACAAAATGCAATCATTTAAATCAATGGATTTATTACTACTACTGCTACTACTGCTATTATTTTCAATTATTCAAGTAGGTTTTTCACTTAGAAATTTTTTTTGCAAAAAAGGTTGAAAATAATTAGCTTGGCTCATTTGATGTTTTAACAACTTATAGTACAATAATTATGATCATTTAGAATAAATCAATTAGCTATATTCAAGTAAATTAATTAATTTTATTGGTTGAAAATTTCTCATACTGCTAAGCAAATGATCAGTCTGTTATATTTATTGGTATTGATAGGCCTGCCACTATCTTTGGCTTAGTAATAGTTTGTTATTAAAATTGTTGTAAGAGAAATTTTTCGTCAACATAGGCGATAAATGGAATTAAGTGGGAATTCATTGGTATCGAACATTCACTTCTATCTTCTTAATTTTTATAACTTATTCAAAAAGCACCAAACTTGTAATTACAAAAGTTACATGATATGTTGTTAACATGGAATTAGTTATTGAAAATTGCTCAGAAATCATTTTAGCGCATTTTAATAAGAAAATCGTAAAATATCATACTTTTGATTTTTGATCAAATATGCTCAATTTTTCTGATTGAATTTAATGATATATCGATGTGACCATATATCATCGAATCAATTATAATTAGTGAACATAAAAAAAATTGATCTGTAATGAAATATCAGATAGCCTTACTTAAAATAACTATAGATGGTGCAATAATTATTGATCTTTTTGTTTTCTTACTTTTTCTATTTTTAATTTATTCTTTTATTTTTGATTTAAATTTCGAATATGCGACAACATGGAATGATATGTGCTTAAAGATGTATGATGAATTATTTGCGAAAGTTTAAAGAGCGAAATATTTGAAAATCGCAAAATTCACTTTACCTGCAAAGCAATTGAAATGATCCGATTGAAATTAATCTTTTCAACAAAAATAATTCACATTCATGCAGATTGTACAAAGAAAAAAAGAAATAACGAAATATAGTAAAAATTTCTGAAAGAAAGAAATAAAGTAACAGAAATTCTAAAATTGAAAATGTATTTTTAGGTTTTCGTTTCATCAATCAACACTGTTGAAAATGGAATTTCCGGTTAGTTACAGAAAATTTCCTTCTTATTTAGATTTACTCGTATTCAGATAACTTTTCTTTGAATTTTAATTTTGTTTCTTTCTGTTTAATCACTTTAAAATATAAGGCATGTTGAAATAATATTTAATGACAGTATGTATTCTGCAATAAATGACAATATGAACAATAACTGTCAAAAAGGATGAGTGGTTCTTTTGAAAAAAAATTTAAGATATTTGATGGTATTATTTACTTTCCTCAGTTTGTTTACTGTTTACAGTGAATGTGAAGAAATTTTTCTACGTTTGTTACTTCAGGCTTATCAACAAGATAATTCAAACAACTAAAAATAAAATAAAATGTTTCGTTAAATTATCTTAAAAGACAATGTTTCTTCTTATAATTAAATTTTGAGGTCAACCGCTGATAGAATGTGGAAGTGAATTTATCCGATTTTCGGTCAAAACAATAAAGCCTTTTCGAGGTAAAGTTTTCGTCAAAGGACAACATGGAAACAATGATTGTAGTCGAAATTATAATGGAACTGATTTCATCCGTATTTCTTATTCAGAAGGTAAAATTTTAAAATTTTGAAATTGTTGAATTTAGATTTGAAAAATATTTTATTGAAGATCATATAGTCATGATACTGTACGAATAAATCTTAGATATTTGATTTGGTGAATTTCTAGCAACGATGAAAATAGTAACTTTCTTTTTTACTCTAGCCAGTATCACTTTTCAAATGTTTTAATTTATCAAGCATATTCATTACTCTTCTCCTAACTTCACCTCTTTTTCCTCTTCTGTTAAAAAGTGAGGATGATAAACATTTACCATGTAGTCATTTCAACTCGATTAGATATTATGCAAATTGTAAAATTGCAATTTTCAAAATTTTAAACTCTCAATTGGTAGATCTTACCTTGGATTTAGTTATTTGTTTTAATATAAACATTTCCAAATATTTCAGATAGTCCTGCACAAAAAGGAAACAATTTATTTGAAGAAACAGGTAGAGCTCCAACATTTACATAATCTTCATAAATCATAAGCTAATAATATACAGATAATAAATTCATCGTATCGATACAATACGAAGTTCAGAAGTAGACGTTAAGCAGACAATTTGTTTAAAATTAAAGAGGAAATATGCAGAAGTGTGAAAGAAGAAAGAAAGTTAGTGAGAGAGATATAATAAATCAAAATGAGATTGAAATTGAAAACTTCGGATCAAAAACTTAGTTAGCCAAAATCTTGAAATAATGAATTGGGAAGAAGCTTTTTATTTAATTAGATGAATTATTCAAAGATCGTAGAACAAATGAAATTTTTAAAATTACTGTACATTTTATCATTAAAGATAATAGGCTAAAAATAATACAGTTAGGAAATATTATCTTCGAAAATAATTTGCCCATTAGAAGTTGGCAGTTTCGATGTTTTGAAAGATTGAATAGTAATTACAAAAACAGTAATTTATTATTTAACAATATATATGTGACTAAATGATAATCTTATGGGGAGAAAAATACCGTAGATAAATGAAGTAAATTTGATTTTTATGGACTACCGATCAACTGTTATTACATCAGAATCATATTCAACAAAAGATTTTGATTTCAATGCTAAGCATGAATATGACAATTCGATATTTACAACAGTTTCAACAACATCTCATCATTGCCCGCCATGTCCGGTATGTCGAAATGATCTGAAAGATAGCGTACAACGGGAAGCTATGGAAAACACTGCTGATTTACTTATTAAACTTGGCACCTGTAATATTAAATACGATCAACAGGTATATGATTTTATTTCATTCATTATATTTATATCATTTCTCCTCAAATTATTAGTAGTTTTGGATGAGCGCTCATTGATAAATAACTGTCAGAGACATCTTATTTCTTGTAAGTTTTAAGAATAAAAGTTGAAAATTAATGGAGACATTTATGAAGACTGTTTACGACATTTATGGCATTTACAAAAACTATTTACGACATTTACGACATTTACGAAGACTATTTACAACATTTACGACATTTACGAAGATATCTACATTGATTTATACATTCACAAAGATATCATGAGAGATTGATAAATTTTTATAAAGTTTATAATTTATTAAATATTTGAATTTTTTCGTTTCCCATTAATTTAATTCAAATTTACTACAAAAAAAGTTCTGCAAAAAATGTTGAATACACATTTAATGAGTATATATGGTTTTTTTTGCTGTTATATAAATAAAGAATATGAGAGATTAAAAAAAGCTGTCATTATGTCCTTGAATGAAGAAGACAATATAATACTGGTAATTTAATAGACGCTGTAAAGAAATAAATGAAAAGAAAATTTGGGGAAGAAAAGAAAGCAGAATTTTTAACGATGTGTCCATAAGAAGGCCAAGGACATTTTAAAGAAAATTTACTCAATTTTGTAAGCAAGTATCTTCAATTGAAAATAACTCTTAAAACTTCATTAATGATATATACCATTCTGATAATCTTAAACTAAATTTATTGTCTTACGAAAAATTTAATTTGCTTATATAAAAAAAGAATTGAACTAATTAATGTAAATCTTATAATAAGGAAACAATATGTAAAATGTAGAAAAAATATTAACAATTCATGTAAGAATATATCCAAGGCGTTATAAAATCTTTAGCTTTGCTAATTAATTGAATAAATTGATAAGAGTTAAATTTTGCTCTATCTGTCAGGTGGAACCTCGTGCAATGATTATATCATTAACAGTTGTTGTTAGCTTTCATCAAAATCTTCTTACCAAGCTTGATCGAGCATTTCATATTCAATGTGAATATATGGAAGGTACTAAAACGATTGATGCTGATTTAAATGTTAGGTTAGTTTTTTTTAGAATTTTCATTTACTCATTGAAATTATCAAAATTATCAGATCATTCAATTTAGGGCAGAGAAATTTGAATTCAATTATGTATGATTCAATAATCATTCATTACTGCTTCATTTTGTTATCATTTCATTCCACTCATAACCTATGTTTTTTACAGAGATAAGTTAATTTAAATTAACTTTCGCTTAAAATATAAATGATGAATTAGGAGTTTTCCAGTATGCCACCAAGTATAGAAGTGGAGTCAAAAATTAATTCACCACAATGTATTTATACGGTTAAAAGTCCTTCCGGTAAAGTAATCAGGAATGCTCGAGTTGGTGAGCCTGTTGATCATCAATGGATTTGTCAGAGTCCATTCAAAGGTTTAAATAAATTAATTTCTATTCTCTCTCTATTCTAAATATTCAGTTTTTGAAGTTAAGCTGAAACTTTTGCATAATTGCCTTTTTCGGAAATTTCCACTATTTAAAATTAAATAAATAATAATTCTGCATATTATTTATGAACTTACTAAAATCAACATTTTATAACTATTTTATATAACTATTTGTATTCATAATTATAACTATAACAATTTACAATTTAATAAATCGATCAAAATGATAATAATAATAAAACAATAACTATTTTACATTTTCTAATTATAGTATTTACTCATAATTGTTGTAGGATGAATTTATAATTTTAAATTTGCCTAACTTTTTCTGAAATTATTTAGGAGTTCATGCAATGCTTGTAAGGAATTGTTATGCAGAATCAAATGATAATTTTAAAGTTCTTGTTATCGATGAAAATGGGTTTGTCTTATTAATTTACAATTTAATAAATCGATCAAAATGATAATATAATTTTTTTTGAGCAAATATTTTTGAATAATTTAAATTATATATTTTTTAATTTTATTATATGATTATATGTAAAGAGAGCAAAATCATTCATTATTATTTTTAATGCAGGGAAGATTTTTGAAATATATATATATATATATCATATATTAAAAATTAAGATAACGAGGGAAATGCAGCTGTCATTAAAAATTTTTTAATTTATGATTCATTGATGTTTGACATTGACTTTAATAGAATCATATAAATTTTGAAATAGCAATTTTTTATGCCTTTTTTATACTATTCTTATAATTACATCCTGCTGTTAGTAATCACATAAAAATACTCAATGACAGTCATTCATTTTATTGTTTTCAAAATGATTTAAATATATTTAATTTTATTTTAAACCAATATGCTACGATATTTGAGATGTACATTGGATCCATATATTTTACCCAATCTACAGTATGCATCAGATTTAATGTCAGTAAAAATACGCACATCTGTTTTCAAATTTCCTGATCGTTCCGAAATTAGTTTTCGATGTGATGTTCTTGTTTGTATACGAAATCAACAAGGTTGCAATTTAATTACGGTAAGCTTTTCGTTTGTAAATCTCATGAGTAGTCTCTTCGGAATAATTTTGATGATTATTAAGGAATTATATAACTTTAATTTCCGTAAAACTTCAATTGTTAAATTAACAGAATATTTTGAGCAATCATTATGTTTTTGCTTAAATATGAAGTAATTTAAATAATGGATTAATTCTGTAAGGGTAGAAATAAGTATTCTGAATTCTTAGTTTAGATAAATTCAATTCTGCTAATTTGAAATTCTCGAGAATGGACTAATTTAAGAGAAACAAAATTTATCGCTCAAAAACTTTTTATAAATTTCAGTTTATACATTTCAAGTTCTTTCGATAGCTATTTAATTCATTCTTATGTTATTCAAAATTATCACACAATTTCTAGTAGAAAAATTAAAATTGATCTCTCATTCTTTCTCAGCAGATTATTTCCCATATAAAATTAAAATAATATAAACTTAACTTTCACGATTAAACATTGCTAAATCAAAACTCTAAATATTTTGTGCAAAATATTGGAAAACAAAAATTATCACTGGGAAATTTCATTTTAGATTTAAGTGATTTCACAATTAATGTTCGTTAAATTTTATTTAATTAAAAAAAGACTATACTATTCTATTCATTTTGTCCACTCTCTGGTCACTTTAACCTTTGTTCGACTAATTTTTGAATAAAAACTAAATTCCAGTAAAGTATTCAGAATAAAAACTGAATTCCGGTTAAATTATTAATTCCGGTGAAGTATTCAGAATAAAAACTGAATTCCGGTAAAATTATTAATTCATAGTATTTGAGATTAATAGTATTTTACATATATTGAACAATTATTACAACTTTTCTTCACTAAGAAATTTTTAAAGCTGAAATAATTCTTTCACAGCAAAACTTCATATTATTAGCAATTTAGATCTTTTTAATTAGTGGAGTAAGAATTTCTTTTAATTAGTAGAAATTGTTTTAAAGTTACTATTCTACAAGGTAATATAATGATTGTTATTGGTCTTATTTGTATTTTCCCTTTTTACTACTTGAAACTCTTTAATCAATAAAATATCACATTCAGTGATTCAAAGTTATTCCTCTTGTAACCAACCAATCATCTTGTAGCCACCAAAATGCTCTAATCGTAAACGAAAACGTCGTGATCTGTTCAATGTTAGCCAAGAGAGCTTGTTTCTTCGAACACCGAGAATTAATATCATCGATCTGGATGATACTATTCAAGGTAATGATGTTAAAATTATTGGAAAGTGTATGACTTTTTTTTGATCGATTATGCCAGGATAATTTTGGAAAGAATTTGATTAGCAAAATATATGTATAATGTCATGATATCAATATTACTGAAGTCGTAAGATAAGTTATTACTTGTCATTAAAGCAACCTATTCAGTATATCCAGTAATATTTCTCAATATTATTGATGCAAACCTAATACAAAAAATCGATAACGTATTTCATTTCATTTGCTTCAAACAGTTTTCTTTTTTTGAAATTTTAAAACAATATCCAGTGAAGTTAATTTGTAATTAACTTCAAAATATATTCGTTGCTTAATTATGAAATTAAGAATTAATGAAAGGATATTGAATAAACGATGCTACAAAGGATTTTTATTGTTTAAAAATTTCAATTTCATAATTCTCTGTTAATTATTTTCAACGATGATTATTTTCTGCTAATTATTTTCAATTAGTTAAATGTTTTGCAAATATAAATAGATAAATATGTAATAATAACGTATTAGATTTGAAAATTTTATTTATTCAATTTGTTTATAAGAGATTTAGCTTGTCAAAATCTATAGTAATCTCTTATTCGTATTTATTATTTCTAATTTTAAAATTGTTTACAGGATTGGAATCAGAGCAGTTAATTTTAAATCCTTCATTATCCGATAAACCGTTACAATACTGTTTAACGGTAACTCGATTTGCATGTTTTATTGCAAGTACAACATTTCTAATTACTACTACAATGACTATTATTGGTGCTTCCATTATTAACTCCAAATCACATCATATCAGTACGCTATCGGCACCTGATTTGTGATTACATTTACAATAACATTCCAGTATCAAAATTCATATATATGCAACTTCCATATTAAAATATGGTGCTCCGGGAGCAGAATGTTTTACACATAATAATTCAAAAGTCATTTATAAGGATAGTGTTTAACAATTTATCACTAAGAATTATAAAAGTTCAGAATTAATCTGTTGTAATATATATATTATATTTCATTAAAATGAGGAAATTTCAAGGCTGCAAATTGACCAGATCATTTCAAATGTATTGAAAATCGGTTTTAGATACTGCTACCCAATAAGTTTAAAGTCAATAAAGTTTAAACTCTTCATGACGAAAAAAATTAAAGTCAAATTGAGTCAATTTCCAGTAGATCATTAGTAATTGCAATTAATGCCTTAACATTACGCCATTCTACACAATAATAAGTGATACTTCATATGTATGCACAAATTTAGTGAATGTTTATTTGAAAAAAAGAGTCCGATCTTATCATCTTAAAAATTCAGGATCTGATCTTATCATCTTAATTTATCAATTGGAAGATTTTAATCAAGTTAAATCTAATCAGGTTTTCTTTCAAGGACAACGAAAAGTGAGATTCATTTTTATTTAATTAAAGAATCTTTCATGTGTTGAAATTTTTCATTTGAAATTTATGTATGTGAAAATTTATAATGAACAGTTTGCTAATGACAAGGCACATATGAATGAGGCTTTTCTGGCTTTATGTTAGGCACCATTTATTGTTATATATTATAAATCCTTCAGAAAATATTCCCTTTCTTTTGCATTAAATCAGCATGGAAATATTCGGCAATGACACTTTCAAAAATATTCCTATTTTAATCTTAAGACGAAACTTCTGTCTATCGATGACCAAAGAACTTTCGAAGATATCTTTGGAAATGATAACTCGTCTATTAGATTTCTTTTAGTAATATTGTTTTTCTTAGAAATATTTTAGTAATACACATTTTGCTGATCAACTAATGTTGCTCCTAACTTCACTTTACAATTATAAATCGCCTGTAAAAGAATATTAAAAATTTCTCACTCTTTCTAATCTTTTCTCCTGTGTTTTATGTTCCATCTTCTTCAGTCCATAAATTTTAAATGTAAAATGAGTGAACAAAATTAAAAAATATCAGATCCTTCTTCAGTAGAGCAGCGCCACTGAATCACAATAATTTTATTAGTTATTTGTTTTTAGTTGAAATTATAATATGCCAAAAAATATAAAAACTCATCGATATGAAACCAAATATTCCGTAGAAAAGATATGCTATACAAGAAGTACTTCTGCCCTAAATGCAACTTTACCTTCAAACAAAAAATCCTGCAAATTCCAGCTTGTACAATGAAATAGATTTTACAACCTTCTGCAAAAAGAAATCTCCCAAACCTCCTCATTTCCATTGACTAAATTGTCAGACACAGTAATCATTTAAAATCAAACCGAACAGTATAAAAAGGACGAACACAACATAATACGCGATTAATGCATAGGTATGTACAGAACTTCAACACAGTTTGCCAACAATTTACCTGACATTACAGCCTCATTGGGTCGCTGAACAGTTCCATGCGGACCAGCATAAACGTAAGGGAAACGTAGAATGTAATAACGTGCCCATTCCAGATGTAAGGGTGCTTCTCCTGTATGGTATATTGGCTCTTTTGATGTTGGCTAAAAGTATCCAATTTATCAATTCCATCAGGTATATTAAATATAATAAACAGATTTTCATGAACTACAATAAGATTAATATCAAAGTCTTCCTATTCATTAATAAGAATGATGAAGAAAAATGAACCTGAACACGAGGATTCAAGACGACCGTAACCGGAGCTTTAGGGGTGACGACATGGAGTCGCATCAACTGAGCACTTACTTGAGGCAGTCGACGGCAAGTACATTTCGTCCACAATGGTAAATCTGAACGAATCAAGGCTGATCCCGATTCCTGAAGAATCTCTGCATTTATGCAATCATGAGCTTTTAATATAGGATTTTAACCTGATTACTATAATTAAACAGCAATAAAAAGAGTAAAAAATCATGCATTGATACTTAGGCTGAGTTTTTCTTTTACAGTGAAGACTGGGATAAAAGCATGATGTTCTAATTAGTATACTCAGTATTTGATACAAAACTTCCATGATATGGACGCCCAACCTCACTCTTCCTGAACATCTGTATTTCGCTTTCCCCAACAAAATCAAGTCACAGATCACGTATAACATTTACCTCAAATTTCCTATAACAGTTATTGGACCTATATTAAAGAATATGTAAATCATAATGATAAAATTTAGCTACTTCTTTCACTATAAGGACAGAAATTTTTTTAATCCATAAGTCTTAAATATGAAAGTAAGAAATACTTTTGAATTCGGTGCTACTTTCATCCTAGTGTTGGCATGCACATCCTGGATCATGAATCGATGTCCCCGTGGGCATTCATATTCAAATCCAACAAACAGCTGAGAAAAATAGACAGATTAAAATATATGTGAAAGACAACTCCTCCTTTCAGTGTATCTTATTACGGTGCTATGATAGTTCTCGACAAAATTTAAGTTTCATGATTTATTCATTCAGATCGTTAAATTTTTGCATTCTGTTTGTACAAAGATTATCGATCAATGAAGAAAAATTTATTCAAGGAATTCTGAACAATTTCAATATTACTTGAAATATGTCAGAGATTTCTAAAGTCAGATCAAATTCCGAATAGATTTAAAATTTGGATCCTCTAATTCTTAATCCCAATGGAATTTGAATAAATATTTTTATATCATAAAAAAATCGCTCAAATTTCAACTTCTGCAAAGTGAATCAGTACCTTCACTTTTTCACGACTACTCTTGCTCACTTTGATAGGACGCTTCGATCTTATGCCATACGAGTCGCCCATAATTTTCCTCATATCAATATCCCATTTTTCAGGATCAACTGCTACGAAGACGTCGGCCGGTAGAAGAAACTGCGTTCCGCTTTTGAAGTTTGGCATGTCGCGAAGTCCAGCTTTGTGACTAAACTAACCAAATTCCAAAGCTAAATAATTTAACTAACTAATCAAGTAATCAACCATTGCTAACACCTAGTTTGACTGCACTAATTATAAATGAAAGAAACCTGTACAAGCTCGACGCACCCAGACATAAAAGTGACCAGGAAGGAAAAAGAGGCTTTCTAGATGGCGATTCTGTATTAGGAACGCATTCCAAAAACTGACCTAAAAAAATTTTTCAGCAAAAAGTAACACTTCTTTTACAGATCCGGGAAACTTGAAGAAGGAAGAAGAAAACGAATAAGTGACAAATTTGGCGGCCACGTCGCGGACATGGAAAAATTATCTGGTTGCAAAATTTTCGAACAAACCTTATTAATGATAAATCGGATAGAAAAGCCTGTAGCTACTGGACTAGAGCAAAGTAGCAAAATTCATACCTTTGCATAATTTTCTTAACTTCACCAATTCTTCTTCAAAGTTCATAGCAGAGTTATCTAAGTTGCCAGAGTTGTCTACGTCCGGTTCTCGTAGCTGTACATCATCATCATCAAGATATGAAACTTGTGCCTCAGCCTCTGGAATAGTCTCTTCATCTTCCTGCGACCACGATTCGTAATCATCCATGTGCTATAATTGTTTGCTGACGACAAAAGAATCAGTGTTGTATATCACATCGGCTCTTTCAGCAGAATTTTTATTCTTGAACTAGTCTTTATTTAAAACTGAAGAGAAATTAAAATTAACCGCTCGATGGCGCCTTATTCCTAAAAATGATTGTTCAGCCTCTTCTGTCCTAACATATTCTTCCTCGTCCTCGTCATCATTATTCTCCAATTCTTCAGGCGTTTGTTCCTCACCACACTTTTCTGTCCCTGATGATATTGAAACTTTCTTCTCTTCTAATTCTTTCTCAACGTCATCAATATCTGTACCTTCCGCTGAAATATTAGAATTGTTAACGTGATAGATATTTCAGAAGAATGTTCAGAAAAGTAAGAGAAATCTTAAAACTTACTACATAAATTACTTTTGAAGGGAGATTGTATACTTTCATGTTGCATTTCATCATCTTCCAGAGGATTATCACGATCCAGAAGCATTTTCAAATAGTCTAAACATATTCATATAAAAATGACAACACAAATTTTGTCAAATCATAATAATTCAACACTACTATTTGTCAGTAAGCACTTCTGTCAGAAAACGTAGAAATAATAGATAACACAATCACTAAGAGATGTTCTCCACCACGTAAGTTATCTCGCGTTTTTAAGTCATTTTCCCAACAGGATGCTTCTACAAATTATAAAAGGGAAAGCCATAAAATCAGAAATGGGATTACTCTCTCCTATCGACGTTGATGAAAATTCAGAAAAACTATGTTCTGGAGAAGTTGTCGATTTTTGCGACTTGTCCGGTAAACTTTCTATATCCAATGACCCATCATTAACATCATGTTTGAAAACTTCAAATTTATACTCTTCCATATTTTTGCAACATGTAAACTGTGACTGCATATAGAAATCATAATTAGCTTCCTGCAACAACGCAACACTCTTTAGATGTGTTCGCCCATTTACGAAATGTTTATAATTACAGATACTTAAATTGGATGTAATTTTATGGCTAAAGTATACCCACTAACTTTGTCAATTTAACTGAACTACAGAGAGTTTCAGTTAAGTAAAATAGATACGAAATATAATATAAAAACATAAATAATAAAAAGAAACAAAACGAACACGTAATGAAAACGGATCGTTGCGCAGTGCCTGAGAAAGGCCACAATTGCATGTGGAAAGAAAGCGAGCTCCGCTTGAGTGAGCAACTCGTTTCGAGGCGGGCACTTCTAAGTCTGATAAGGAATAATGAACCTAAAAAATAATGCGGAACTCACTTCTTGAAGGATAATAAAGATCAAACACTAAAACTATTTGAAAATAAAATTTACAATATTTTGAAGAGTTTTTAAGGAGGTTAGCTTTATATGCCCTTGCACCAAAATCGAAAACTAGATCATTAATCCATGAAAACGGCATACTTTTCGGGTGCAACCGAATGTGTTATTAAATTAAAAAAGTTTTATTCATCCCTATCAAGTACGAAAGACGAATAATGAGCAGGTGCTATACTACATTATGAAAATATCTTGAATGATGAAAATGGTAAAAGAGAAGTTAGGAATTAGCATTATTAATATTATTTATGCTAATTTTCTGCTTAAAAAATTACTAGCAGTGTATGTTATATTTCCAGAAGCCAATAGCTTCGCACAAAATTTGCATAACTCTTCCGGATTATCTGCTGACTAATTCTTAGGTAACGGCATAAATAATATCATCCGTCACGTTAAAATAACTTACCGGTAGAGCACATTCGTTTCCAGTAAGGGAAACAAATTCACACGCTTTTTGAGTAGCCCAGAGAGCTTCGCATTCCTGCTTCAATTTTTCTTTGGCCTTTTCCAATCTGGTACCATGATAAATGCATTCCAGATGTTCCACTGCACGCGCCAACTAAAACTTCATCAAAATTTTTTTTTAACGAGTTCTGTTAGTCATTCCTTAGCATACACTCAGTGTTTCTTGTTCAGCACTTTTCTAATAACATGAAAAGTTTTTTCTCAATAAAGAAAAAAATTTCGACAGATATTTAAAGGAAAAATAAAATTCAACCTTAGCTCCATGCTCCGCTTTCGTGAAAACCTGTGACTTTCGCTTTTCGAAATCACGCATATCTTTGTTGCTACTTTGATATACTGCTTTAGCTTGCCCGATGTAGGTGCCCTCCATGCTTAAGTATGTTTTATAATGATATTTTTATTTAATAAATTTTATGAATAATTTTCCAAGCATTTATAGATGAAGAAAAACAAGCGAAAAGCGAATATGGAAAAAGAAGGTGAAGAAAATATTATAAAGTTTTATGGTAGATCTTTATCACCTTCGAGCACAAGTTTTCCACATCAATAAAATTCGAAAAAATCCTCAAATAGATATCACAAAGCACAAAAGTGCGTTAGAAAGACATGTAAAAGCATTTTTGAAAATATATATCAAATTAAATCGTTTCAAAATAAATAATTATAGCTAATTTTAGTAAGAAACAGAATTGTCACTTTACCTTTTGGAAAACTGCAGTTCAGGACTACTAAGTCTGTATATTTTCTCGTCACTAAAGATTCGTATTTGAAATAACTGATCATACACGATTTTTCCACCAATCAAGAGCCATTTCAGCGTAGGTATCTGGCATAATCATTTTAAAAAGTAATTTTTTCCCCAAAATTATTTGAGCAAAACGTTAAAATTTTTTATGAAACATTAGCAGCATGTAATTTGTTAACTATAAAGCATCAAAAAAGCAATTCAGCAAAAATACAGCAAAAATTTTATGAAAATTTCTATAAAAAGGAACTTCATAAAGATATCTCCTCTTTTCTTCATCTTGTCGTACGAGATCGATATGTGACCGCAGAAAATCACCAAAATCATTTCGTTCTTCCTTCTCTACAATATCTCCTTACATGAAACTAATCTTATCAATTGTGGATGACAAGTTAACGAGACAGTAAAAAAATTGAGAATGAAAAATTAGAATATATGTTCACGAGTTATTTGAAAGAATGTTAGCATGTGGGACTACGAGTACACTAGGTCTCTGCAAAAAAGCAAGTACATGTTTTTTAATCATAATGAAATAGGCAATGTTTTTATATCATAATGAATTGACATTTTGCAGTCACTGTTGAAGCATTCGAATTCGCATACTTTCTTCCAAACATCTCTATGCTTTTGAATACAGGATACATTTCTACTAGAAATATCTCTCTATTTCTTTACTTATGAATGAAGTGGAGAACTTATTGAAGCAAAATTTCTATTATGTTGAGGAAGTAATAATCAAAACCTTGTTTTTGCCAAGAAAATTTAATCATTCCTATTCAAAATCAAAAGCGAAACGGTACCCCTTTTTCCAGTTCCATCACTGCCTTCTTTACCTCGTTCGAGAAGCATCAATAAACTGCCACGAATATCATCATGAGATGATTCCGCTGCCGAAAATAAGTAAACAGATTGTTCTACAGATTTCGGTAAACTACATGGACAGTCCCTAAACAGTACATATTCAAAGTTTTCATTTATGTTGGAAAAAAACATACAATAATTACAACCCTATGTTTTATAAAATAAACAATTAAAGAAGTTCTTCTGAACAATTGTTTTGAACTCTCTAGCTCTTTTGAACAATTGTTTTGCCTTCTCAGTTCATCTCAAAGATTTCCATTTATGGAAGAGCAATTAAACTCTGATAAATTTAATCGAAAATGAAAAATACTTACTTATCACTACCTGCAACCAGTCCATATATTTGCATACAGCGATATATTTGTTGTTCTAATTTGTCCACTAGTTTGCTCCTTAGTTCTCTCTGAATTCAAGAAAATTTTTTAAAACTTTATCACAAGCAGCATTCATTGATCCACTTTTCTTTTAGAATCAACCTATATATTTCGAAAGCAGTCTCTGCGTCATATAGCTGTCCTTATCGAGTGGCTAGGAATATTAAATGAAACTGGAAATGACTGTCCAACTTCTGATATAGCTCCACTTTTTCTCTGACGACTCTTCTGCAGAATGCCCTTCCGCAAACAGGGAAAAGTCTCTTAGTACTCTGGGACGTAGATGCAGTTAATAAAACTTTTCAGCATTTTAAACTATTTTAAAAGATCTCTTCATCCCAAGCATATAAAGGGTTATGTCGACCTGCGATAGTTGAGTGTTCTTGCAACTAAAAAGAAGTTGAAAAATCAGAAGTGAACAAACCTTTCGGCTAGAATTTAAATCGCCCCTTAGTAAATGACGGTGGAAAGCAAATAGGCACCGCGGCTGAGCTAAGCGTCCTTCAGCCGACCAGCCCTGTGGGAAACCCGTAATAGCTGACAGTTTTGTCCGAATTTCTCTCTGACAAAACCGTCGAAGTTCATTGGCTCGCTTCAAATCGCGGCAACAATTCTGATCAAATCGACAACCTGGTTCCATGTAAATGAGTAAGTGCGAACAAACCAAGAGAAAGGTCAGACATCGCGCATAGTCGATTTCTTGCTGGGAAAGAAGTTCGAAGAAATCCTGAAATTCACAAATTTAATATAGAAGGATACAAGACCGTATGCAACATGGTTTGAGTGAGTGTAAGAAATTAAAGACTATCTGATATAAATTCCCCACAGTTTTCAAAAAGTACTAGAATTTCAATAAAGCACTCCATTAAATTAAAATTAAATATAAAGGACTGAAACTATAGTTTTCTTGCTGAACTCATCTATACATAATCCTGCTTCAGAACTTGTTTTTTTGAACACAACTTAACCACAACATTAAACTGTTCCCTGCATCCATACTTTTCGGTCATCGTCATTATTTTGTACAAAATATTCCAGTGAGCACAAATCACCATAGCCAGAAAGATGCAAAAAAAGAACCGACCATTCCGATTCATAATATGCTTCGATCTAAAACTATGTCAGCTGCATCGAAAATGAAACGAATATTTAATCAGGCAAATCTCTTGTTTAGTATCACAAAGATGTCTCATTATGCTTTCCGGTTGTGACATACACGAAAAATATAGTTATATATAAATCTTCTGAAGAAGAACGTCAGCGTCAGTCTTTTTGTTGCTTCGTCTATCATATCATACAGTTGAAGTGGTGATGATTCAACAAATATTCATTATGTCGTGAATAATTGAAACCCTAAAGAAAATTTGAAATTTAAAATTCTAATAATTTTTAAAAAGTTAATGTAAATGTAAGACTGCACAATAAATACTCCTACATCGCAACTAGAAAGTTAATTGCTTACCGAAGCAGTACTGCCTTCCATAGGAATTCGTTGAATGAAAATTGGGCGCCCTAATAACTGATTGATTGGATCAGCTTTGGAACAATCACTAGAAGATTTTCCAACAATTCCTACAACAATCACACGTCTCCCTTCAAAAGTACCCAAATTGTAAATCGATTCGGTAAGCCATTTTGATAACGATTCTGCAAATCCATTCCTCATCCTGTAATACTGTTTTCCCTCATACACATAATATATATTTATATATTAAACCATGATAAATAGCAACAAGTATATCACAACAAAAATAAAGTAATCCTTTATCATTTAGACTTAAATAGAAATAAGTCCACTTCAAATATGCTTCTGAATCAACAAGTTATAAATGATAATTAGATTCTGTGAATTTAATGATAATTAGATTCTGTGAACTCAACTCACAAATACAAACATTAAAGGCACTCTTCTATCCTCCAACTCGATTTTTCATTTGTAATAAGATCGAGAAGGACAAATGGTCAATATCAAACTTCATTTTTGTTAATTTTAGTGAAAAAAAAGAGGGTGATTGGAAAAAATTTGAAACTATCCATAAAGTAACAAAACATTCACAACATTTTGAAAGTGTATCACTTCAACTAAATTTGGCATTAAATCTAAAACAAAGTTGGCATTAAATCTAAAACATATCTAAAACAAAGCAACGTATTTAAAATGATCAAAATACCCCACTTCAACATTTCCAACACTTCGGAAACCTTTCACCCTCTAACATCTTCACCTATACATTCTAGATGCTATTTTCGAGTTCTTATTTATCTCTGCTTTCTCCACAAAAAGTGTGTGTTTTCTAAGGTGTAATTAGAACTGCATCAATGGGTCTATTTTATGAAATCGCGCTCTTTGTTCAGTTTCTTGAATAGATGGTTGAACAAGTTATTAATTCAAAGTTTTTTGAGTATTCAAAATTATGACTAATTTTTTCTTTGCTCTCATTTCTGTTTTATCATCGTATTATCACGACGATAATTGATAATGAAGCAATGATAAGATTTCCTGTATTATCCTTTTTCATCTCCCGAACAAGTACAAATATTATCGACAATAGATTTTGCTCTTTTCAGTATCATCGACAATAGATTTTGCTCTTCTGATCGTAGAATTGCTCTATGATTGGAGTAGAATGAAATTTGAACTAAGAAGCTATAGCATATTGAGATGATGAATTATCTTCATGGAATACATCATTGCAACTAAATACTGTTTAGGTCTGATTTTGAGATAAATGTTTTACGAGTAAATATTTTTCAAATGGTCGTAATTTTTAGCTATTATCTAGTACGAGATTAAGTAAACAATAAAATCGATGCCACTTTTTGTTTTGTAATGCTAAGTTAAAGTACTCAACTTTTATGCGTCGTCAATTTTGTTGTCGTAGATAAGCGGTCAAGAATAAGTATGAATCATTTTCTTTGAGAATATGATAGAATGAAAAGATGAATTGAAAATATATGCTATCAATTTTCCTAACTTTTGTTGAAGTCTTGTTAAAGCACAAAATTTCATTTATCTTAAGTATACATCTTATTATTTGTGGTGAAAGGTTAAAGATAGCATAGAATATGCTTTCTTACCTTTCTTAATAAAAGCTGTTTTAATTAAAGGATTTTAATTGTTCAGGAGGAATCGATATTATTGAGTAGATTGCTCAAAAATAGTTTGCAATAGTGATTTGAATGTAGCCAAATTTGGTGGAGAAAAATTAGAAGGAACTTAGTGTTTCCATTCTATTCCAACAAATTAATTCGACATCGATATAATTTACAGTTGTAATTTAGAAAGGGAAGATGTTTTAATATATAGTATGCATCGAATGTACACTTTATTTACTAGATCACAACGATTAATTTTGGAATGATACATAGTCTCGAGGCAGTAAGGGCACTCTTTCATTAATTTCATCTGAGTATAGTATCGTATTCATTACTTCAATAGTATGTGATTGACCAACACCTGAAATGTAGTATCATTTATAATTTATGCATACAGGATATAAATTGATCTATTCATGGAAGCATAAATAATCTACCAACTCATATTACACTCGAACATTTAACACATTCTGGAAATTAACCAAGTGGTTTCTTACATTTTTTCGTTTAACTCCTTTTACTTCTTTCTTTTTCATAAAGTGTTTTGGGCGAATTCAAGATTCAGAATTCTCTTATTTGCTTAAATGTGAGGAATACTTTTGTAAATGATGTTAAAATTTAAAAAAAAAATGCCCGAACATTTAGGTCTGAATTCCAGCTTATCAGTCTTGACAAATAATGCTCTGGATAGTGGTGATCGTTGTCCATCCTTAAAACAAGCTGTAGCACAAAATGTGTAAAACCAATCGTAGCGTAGATCAGGAAAAACTATCCGTTGCCCACGTACTGTGATTCGCTCCCAAACTGAGAAATGAGCATTGGGATTTTCCGTATAATAAACAATATAATTCTGAAAGATGTCGCTTATCAAGGTTATTTCAGATAAGCTCTAAAGTAATATCAAAAGTTTTTATGAGGTTAATTTCGGTTTTGGAATAAAATCTCGAAACGATATTTTCATGCTTTCGAAAAGAATATCAATTACTTCGAATGTCATGAGAAAATATTAGTTAACAAATTGAATTGCAACTTTAAAATATTGCTATTTCATATAACTTATTGAATATACTTTTCAAGTTGTAACAGTGTAAAATCCACTAATATCTACCGTTACTTCTCTGGTGCGTTTATAAGGTGGTTCCCATGATAGCTCGATGGTGTTCGCGTTTAAACGTTGAGCCAAGATATGTTGTGGGCTAAGTTGTGGCTCTGCAAAATATTGTTATTTAATTTTAGAAGTTTTTTCTATTTCAGTTACATATATTTTTTAAATTTGCATTACTATTCTGTCCTCTGATAATTTTTAATTTTTTATCGAAATTTAAATGGTTTAAAAGAGTTTTTTCCACTTTGCATTATGATACTTTTAATTCATCATATCACTAAAAACCATTATAATATAAATTAAAACAAATTTGGAAAATCAAATTTAAGAGACGTAAAAGGTACGTAAAATTCACGTAGAGACTTAAAATTTAGGAGACGTAAGATACGTTCATTTTATACGTCAAAAAAATCATTTTTAAAATTCTTCGAAAAGTAATGAAATAATTTAAATACTATTATTTAAATCTTCAATCAAAATTTCGAGAAGTTATAGTGGTAGAACTTTCACTACCTGTATATTGCACCAGGTAAACTGGTTTGCTTTCGCCAAAACGTGAAACAGCTGTTATACGGAACTCATACAAGGAACATGAATCAACGCTCATTATTTCCGCCGAATGATTTTGAATACCTCGTAGTTCACGCATTTTACTATTTTCTTGATGCCTAAAATTGATTGAATTGCTTATAATGTAATCGTTTAAGCTTTCTGTTAAAATATATTTTCTAAATTCTAATCTATTAATCTATGATTGTTCTAATGATGAAATCATTTCAAAAGACTGGAAATAGTATGAACATGAGAGCATAAATTAGATTATTCAATTTTAAGGACAGTTCGTTTTTATAAAATAAATTTAGATTAAATCTTTTTCTCACTTATTCAAATATTACAATTACAAACTTGATCCGATAACGTATATTGTAGGTAACTTGATCATCAGCCGAAAATGCTGGTGCCCATGCAAGCCGAACTGAATAAGCGGATGTTGAAACAACCTGACATTCCCGTGGTGGATCTGGTGGTAAACGAGCGAACATAAATTCATCATCTGTTACTAGAAATGAATTTTATATTAAATAATTTTCTAATGTTCAGAGAAATTGAAAAACAAAAAAAACTGCACTTTTATTTGCCAATAATTAACAATACTATCTTATTATTTCAATAGGAATAATTCATAATACAAATCGAATTATTCTTAAAGATAGTAAAAACTTACACATACGTGGTCCACGTTTTTGAAATTTTCTACTCATTCGCCTTCTGGCAATCATACCTATTTCATTATCATCACGTTCGAATATCATACTTCTTGCGAATTCCAAAAGCACACTTGCAGTTGCTTGTCGTCGTCGTCTAAATTCTAATTAAGCTTATGAAAAAAGATAAAATATTTTTCTGACTTTGAAATATCCGTTAAGCCATCTAAAATTAAATGAATAGTTGTATAATATTGAAGATGTTAATCAGTAAAATTATATATATATATATCATTTTGCATAAATAGAAAATGTTTAATGAAAAAAAATGCGCAAAAAAATTATAAGGTGAAAGTTCATATCAAATAAAATAAGATAATAAGAAGAAAACACAATACACACTTTGCTTTTGCTTCACGTATGAGAAAGAGTGGATTGTTCGTTTGAATTTTACGACCAATGTAATGAATTTCCTTCAGATACATTCGACCAACTACATCCATACACATTGTTGTTAAAATCAAGCCACCCATAATGACACATAAAACTACCAGCATATTTTGTTGTTCCGGACGATAATCACCAAAACCTATGATTCAAACAATATTCCTTTAATTTTTGTTCAAGTTAAAGAAAAAAAGATGGTTATTAATTTTTTAAGTAAAAAACTATCGATGTTGAATTCTTCTTGCATAATTTAACTGTGCAACATTTCTCTAAAGCAATAGTTAATGATTAAATAATAATTAATAGTTGATTGATTAATTTCTTTGTTAAGTTTGGAGTTAAAAATTTACTTAAGAACTTACCATAACACAAATCATATTTAGTGTATTATAACTATGTCATTTTAAGGGATATACAGATATTAGTGGTATGAATTTTATTTGGTTTAGAAATATGGAAGTGATTATTTCGCCATTATTAGATACATAATATACAAATACCAACCAACTGTTAAAATGCTGATAAATGTGAAATACACTGATTCTATGTAAGTCCAGCAGTGCTCCTTCTTTTGAATAATATATGAGCCGAAAAGTCCATAAACGAATACAATTAAAAATAAGATTACCGGTGGAAAACGAATAAGCGTTACTTTCTCTAACAATTCCTGAAAATATAAAAATTGAAAGTGAAAAAAACAAACGGTCAATTTTAATTCTCAAATATCTTCCAAATCTAATTTATCATATCATATCATATCAGATTTATAACATTTCGATAGATAAACAAAATGAAAATTTTTATGCTGGTTTATTTATTTTTCATTATAAATTTGTCATGTCAAAACATTTGATGATTGGATGGTAGTGGTGACAACCTCGTTTAATTTAATATCTTAAGTTTTTTTTAATGCAATGCATATCATTTTTGCATTTTATTCTCAAAAAAATATCACTAGTGTTTTGATAAGATAAGGGGTCATTTGATAATTAATATCCATCAATTAACCTTTTTTAAATCATTAAAATACAAATTTAAAAAGAGAAAATTAGAGTTTAAAACTTGTTCATTTTCGTTTTCGTCAAAAATTGTTTCATGCTGATGAATCGCGCTTCCTTTCCGACGACTATTCCACATCGTTAACTTTTTCCAGAAATTGTAATGTAACAAAAAAGCGCATTCTGATATAAACTTAGCAACGTTAGCCACTGTAACTAGTGTTAATGGAATTCCTGAAATTTAATACAAATAATGGAAATTAAGTTAGTAAATGGTAATAGCTACTGATAATATTACTGATATTATATTACTATACAAATAAGTATTCATCTAATAATAGACAGTATTAATAGAATTATGTTACATTTACCGATAAGACAATAGATGACACCAAATAAACGCCCAAAGAATGTTAATGGTACAACATAACCATATCCAATTGATGTTAACATTGTTGCCGTAAAGAAAAATGATGTAATAAAGTCCCAACATGGAGCATCTATATCGTAGCCATGTCGATATTTAAGATGTGCAGCAAATACCGTATCCACGTACTATAAAAACGTGAAAAGTCAGATGATTTACACAAGTTTCACTATCCTGAATATCTTGAAGATACCATACGCTTTTGATCAACGAAACAAATTATTCCATAAAATATGTATAATATTTGAATATTAGCATTTACTTCATAAAATTGTTCTTTACTATCTTGTCTGAATATTTCCTTCAATTTTGATTTGTCGATTTTTTTCGAATTTTCAGAATGCATTAAATGCCAAATTCGATCTATATATTTTTCTACGCTTACATCGATTCTGCTTAGCTGAGCTGCTTTCATATCCTAAAATTATAAATTTGAAAATATTGAAAGTTTGAAGATACTGAGAGTACGATATTTATTCTTATTTTAACGATCATAATATTGGGTGCTTTTCACAATATATAAATTTGATACTTATTGTATCGAATTAATCTTCAACAGAAGCATAATTTCACATATGTATGTGATAATAAAAATTTTTCATGTACAGGAAACTTTTTTTATCAGTTCTTCAATTTCGGTATTTGAAAAATATAAGCGCTTATATCTGAAATTCAAAGATATAAACAAATAAAAATGGTTCATATTTAAATTGCAGGAACAACAACAATTATCTGTCAAAATTTATGACCCAATCATTTCAACTCCTCTTTAACGATTCAATTGAATGATCGCTTTTAGAGAGTTTTTCAACTGGAAATAATTGCTTATAATTGTCGTAGTGGAAGCCACAAAAAAACTTTGTATCGTTTTTTGTCAAAAGTCGAAAATTTCAACGTTTACAACACTTAATTACTTTCTTTTGTTAGAGAATAAACTGTGGATTATAAAACTTGCATGTTTTTACATCTTTTCTGATTTTAATTTATAATAGTTGACAGTTCTTATATTTGGCAATGTGATTTAATTGTTATTAAAAGTTTAAAAAAGTTTTGCAAACTTTGAGATGTTGTCCTTCGAGTGCTTGAAATATCCATGCCCCAACTATCATATACAAAATGCAAGCTATAACTAGTAGAAAATGCGGAGAGATAACTTTAGCAATGATTTGACGTTGCAAAATCCTGGAATGTAAAACTTTTAAATTTGTTTAGATATCAAATATTATCTCAAATATCATTTATTGATTGATTGCTATATTTGTTGGAAAACAAAATACAATCTTTGTTTGAAAATAATTCATGTTACAATTCATGCATTGAAGAATGTTGGAAATAATGAATACCTTAGAAAAGGCATTATAGCCAGCTGTTTGATGAAATTGTATTGAAATTGATGTAGCCATTTTGGCATTTTTAGTTATTATAATTTTTATCGGAGTTACAAATGTCAGTGTTTAAGTCAATAAAGTAGGTGGGTACGAGAAAAGCAAAGTGGAAGAAACGGATTGAATAAAGTTTGACGGAAAATACGATGATGATGATGTTCGGATACTGAAAGAAATTGAAGAGATCGGCTTATGAAAACCCTGTGGGAATCAAAATTCGATATTTGCTGCTTTTGATGCTAAAGTAACTTTAAAAATTATTGGTTTTATAAAAGATGCTGCTCGATATATCCCAAAATCAACATATATAATACTTCATTTAAAATTTTTGACGATTTGGCAATAAATAGAAATAAGCTATATATCGAAATATTATAAAATGGTACAGAGAAAATGAAAAAAATAAAAAGAATGAATTTATAAGTTCAATTTAAAATTATAATTTATATTTTGCCTTGCTGACTTATGAAAGAAATTTAGAAGGAGACCCTGAAATAGAAATGATATATTGGTGTAGATTGGGGAACAATTCCAATTAAAATATCTTTATGAAAACCAAAATTATTACTTAAAGTCTAAATAGAAGAGAATTCATTTGTTGAATCGATAAAAGACATTTATCTTCTCCTAATCATTTATCAAACATAGATGTTATCTTCTATCACTATCATTACATCTTGCTGAAATCATTTAATCATTGATATTATCTCTATAATTACAATGATCATCATATTATAATCATAAAGTATGTCTTCACGGTTAAATGAATACTTGATGTAACCGGGGAACAAACATGAAATTAATCTATTTTTGCAGATTTTGTGACAGCTACTTTTTTTTTGCCATTCTTTAAATGGTATCCAATGGAATAGCTTAGAGTGACAGTAAGTAGTAAGTATAGTGACAGCTGTGATAGCATCTCTTTCATTTAAAACACTAATTTAGATTAGTCATTTCGTATTCCAGTGAGATAGTTTGCTTTAAATCCAAATAAAAATATCAATATGAAGTTGAAAATCCTTGGTGTATGATTCACCAAAATTCATATGAAATATTTCGAAAATTACAACAAAGAAGCTGATTCTTTTATCTTTGTTAATTTTATCTTTATTAATTGGCTGTTGATTTTTTTTTAAATAAGTATATTGTTTATGTTGTAATAAATCTCAAAAGTTGCTGACAACTGCCAGTATCACATTTGTTATACCGCTTTTTTCTGTTTTTGTCAAAAACTTTCAGCTTTTCCCCGTTGAAGAAAAATTAGTCACCCACATTATACATAACTTTTATCACTCTTATCTGGCAGATTTCTTATCAGTATTATTCATGAAATATTATATCAAAAGTTTTAGGATCTTTTCTTTTTTTTGAAAACTGATATTGAGATCTATTTGATATGATAGATTGAAACGACAATACACTGACTGATGAATATACGGATCGATGCTAAAAGAAATTTGATGAATAATAGAAAAGAGAGTTTGTTACGAAGAAGCAATCTCAACTGTTAAGCAAAAATGATTATGATTGATCATTTCATGCAATGAAATCAGTACGAAAGAGAATTAGGGAAGAGATGAAAATTTTATATGATAAGGGTATCATAAAAAAGTAGTAGAATGATAACTGAGTTTTGGATAATACCAAATAGTTTAATCTATTCCGATTCTATCATCCATTTCTTTTTAAAATTAAAAATAAACGAAATTAAAAATAATAATATGTTTTAAAATCGGAGTGATGCGAGTCTGAAATTGCAACAAAGAGATCAGTGAGTGCATTTTAAGTGTACTAATTAATTAACACTAAAAATTAACACCTATTTACTTTGATTAAAGGTGTAAGTATCACCGACCATGTATCAAAGAGTATTTTTGCAATGTTGAATATTTACGATAGAAGAAGCAATGAATTAAAAGATTAAAGAGGAGGCATCTATATGAAGAGAGATTATTGAAAGTCAATATAGCCTTGTTCCTTATCTACATATTATGAACTGGTTACAATATAGACTAGGCTTTTAAAATAGATGCGATAGTTGCAGGCTGAGATTGCTGTGTTCAAATGGCGGAACGATTTGGCATCAGGCCTTGTGTCAGATTTGAAGGTTGCCATATAAATCATTTATTTTTTGATTTAGAAATGCAATTGTTCATTTTAAATTAAATTTAAAATGAATTTTCAAATCACGATTTCTATACTGTTATGAGAAAAATTAAATAATTATTAATGCAATTTGCTCATTTATACTTGATATATACATTTATGGTAAAAAAGTGAATTCAGAAAGAACAATGAAAGCATTTGTCGGATATCTACAACGATCGGATATTCTATAAATCAAATGATATGTATCTGCTTTTTGATGAATATTTTCGATAAATTCCTCTTATGTAGGCATTTTCTATGATCTTTTTTTAGTAATAATATCGATAATAATGATAACATGAATTAGTTAGTTATGTACGGTTGGGGTTTGGAATTGAAATTGATATAATACTGATGATAATGATCATAGCATTTCTCCTATATTTTCATAATTATTTCTTACTTTCGTATCGCCCTTCTTTCGTTCAATAGTTACTTCTGTTTCACTGTAAAAATATTCTTAGCTAATCTTAACACTCGAAAATCAGTACAAATTTCATTGCAGCAAAGAATATTTAACTGATAATTGACTTCTATAGGAGATGATATTACGTTGAATTTCTCATCCAAAGACAGATAGTGTATCTCATAGCTCATTTCTGCATCATTAAAAAGATTGCTTTATTCATAACAGGAGTAATATCTGAAGAGAATGGTGAATGAATTATTTCTATTAGTTGAAAAGTTGATTAAAATTTGTAAGTCATATCAAATGAAACATGGGAATGATATTGTAATGCAGTTCATGATATCAGACGTAGCAACAATGCAGAACAAACCGCCGAATTATTGCAGCAATTCTTAGTGGAAGCAGCAAATAATCCGATAGAATTTTCTCACAATGAGAAATAACCAAAAAGGTGATAGATAAAACTGATAAACATGTCTCCCAAATAATCAGGGTTTCTGGAGAATGCAATACCAAATCAAAGTAAGCGTGTAATTCGATGTCTCATGCTTTCACTTAAGATATGCGATATTTATTGTTCTTTAATGATCAAGTGAATTTTAGGAGTTAGCTTTGAAATATTGCTCTAGTAATGAAATTTATAATAATTGAAATTTTTTGCTATTAAAATTTTTCCCTTTAGAATTTAATTTTTGAAGCACAATAAATGAATGAATTCAGGAACGCTATTCAGCAATATTATTCCTCAAAAGTGGAAAATATCGTATGGATGATTATTTGACAGCCGATACTTATGTCATTTATAGAGCAGAAATATCAGAAAGAAATATGATCATTGAAATGATAGTGGAATATCTTCAACAAAGCTTTAAAGTGTTTTTTCAAACTTTTCCATATAACATTAACTGTTAATATTATCAGATCTGCAATTTGAATTTTTCTAATAAAATATAATTAAGAAATTCGATCACGAGAAAAGAGTGAAAACTTTTCAAATTACGATCATAGAGTATAATTAGATTATTAAAGATAATTAGATAATTATATTCTGTAAAGATAATTATATGTATTGTGTAAAGATAATTAGCAGAAAAGTTTTTGAATAAAAGCATAATTGAAGCTTGAAGGAATTACTAAAATGCAATGAAAATTTTCCTGTTATGTCCTCTTTTCTTCCAGGTTTTTGAGTTCCAGATTTTGGAATTCAAAGGTAAATTCAAAACTTTTCAGATTTTTCAATTTACGGATATTTGCGAGAGCTGAGAAAACGATGTGAAGCTTCAAGCTGGCTTGAATATTATGAGACGAGTTTACCGAATTAGCCAAACAACTCGGGATAAGGTATTTTGCTCATTTTTTAATTATTTTTTTAAATTATTATTTTATCTTCTTTTTTTGCAATATTAGAATGTCAATATATTTTTTTATTCCGTAATTAATTTTTAAACTTTAAGAATTTTAAATTAAATTTAATTAAGAGGTAGCAATACAATGATAGAAATCACATAGTAATAGATGTTTATGATTTTCTTTGCTAGCTTTCCGATAGATTGATTAGATTTCTCCTAAGATCCTTACAACTAATACCACCAAGAGTTCTTACTATGCATAGCATTATATTAATATTCAACGTAAATTTAACATATGATGGATTAATTTTTGAAATTTCAAAAATTCCTCATTATCACAATTACTGGTTAACCTGATTATCCCATTATTATAATTACTGATATTATTAGAAGCTTTATGACACATTGTGTGCAAAACGTATTACAACGAAATATTCGTTGTAATACGTTTTCTTTTTGAAAAATCTTAAAACTAAATCAAATTAGCAATCGAGCTTTGGATTCTCTGATTCCAGATGTCATCAGTAGTACGGTAGTATTCAATTCAAATATCTTTAAAAACTTATTGTTCCGCATTTGCCAGCTTCTTTTTTTTTCATTCGTACAAATTTCAGGTTAGTACTAAAATCTAGTTATAAAATAATGAAATTAATTTCATTAAATGATATGAAATAATTGGTAATCCGTTGCATTAAACAGAATTCTGCTACTTAAAATAAAGTAAATAAGAAAGAATAAATATGTCAAAAATACTTTTTAACCAACAACCAACCAATAAATTTTGATCATATCAATGATCATATTACAACATAAAGTGGAAAAACTTTTATCATTCCTTATTATAAACTTCCATAATGATGTTTGTTGAAAGAAATCTAAGTTAAAATATAATTTAAATTTAAATTTAAATTCTACTACAAATGAGCAAAATGGTAGAATTAGTATTATAGAATTTGAAACTTTTTTACGTCAAAGAATTTTAGCATTTTTTTTTCTCACTTCTGCTCATCTACCTGCTCCATACTATATCATCACTCTACCTAGTCATAAAATTTCTTTGTTTTCTTACTTCTTCACCTTACAACACTTCTCAACAGCACTTTCATCTATTTCTATGTATTCTGTTTTTGCTTTGAAGGAAAAAAAATGTAAAGATGTTTAAGTGAAGTAGTTGGATATGTATGTGAGATACTTTCACAAAACCTGTTGGTGCAAAAGGAATTCATGTGGATCGCATCTCAACGACATCATTTTCTTATTTATTTAGCTTTAGCTTCATTCTTTTTTTTGCTATGTAACTTAGTGCTAATTGACAGTCATGTCATATTATTTACATGGAAATGAAACTTTTCTTTTTTCCACATTATAACCAATTGCGCTATCCATTATAACCGATTTCCGCCAATTTGCATTTTTCCAGATCTCTTTGTTTATTTCATATTTTTATTACTTCCATTACATTATCATATATATCATTAGCAATTTATATAGATATGCTAAAAATTGCTGCATAGATTATTGAGCATTTTTTGAACTTTTTACGTTCTTACGTCAGTTACTACCAATATCCTTTAGCTAGAAGAATTTACACAATTATTGATATTTTTATGTTACAGAAACCATTCGAATTTTGGTTCATAGTTAAGATCTAAAAATTAGTAAGGTAATGATCTTAATTTGATTTTCATTTATTGATATAATTTTATTATCAAACTTCTACTGGTAAGGTAACTGTTTAATGAATTTGCATCAGAACTATCCAGGTGACATGAAACGAAATACTGAATGGAAAGTTGAAGTCGATTACTTGCTTGCTAGAAATGTAACATCTTCTCATTTCAATGCTTATAAATGGGTGTTTAAGTTGAAATTTAGATTTTATGTGAGCCAGATTACTTATAATAGTGATTACTAATATATATGTAGACTAAACTGGAAAGCGATTTTTGAACAACAGCAATGAATATAATCCATTGCAAAGTTTTATTAAATTATATGGAAGAATATGGTGAACTTTGCCCTGATATGTTTAAGCTTATTTGCTAAGATTGTTTTGCTGAGACTATTTGGCTCATTTAATTATTTCATATTGTCTTTTATTTTTTATTTGCATAAAAATTCATTTTTTATAAATCAAATCAAGTTTTTATATTGTCCAGCTCCTCATCCTATTTTAATTATGCCAAATTTCGTTTGTTATAAGAATGGAAGTGAGAGGAATGATTTCATACGGAGAGATGAAAGTGTTTGGCTAATGAGCTAATTAGTTAATTAATAAGAAGAGAGAAGCAGTCGTTGCAAAGCGTTCTTTCTAAGTCAGAATAGCTTGCTATCTATGTGAGTAGCTGTTTTGGAAGTCGGTGTTCATGGAATCATGCGGGTGTATTGGGGACTTTGTCAAGGTGAGATCGTGGCGGGGTTAGGAGCAGATATTTTGGGGAAGTTTCACGAGCGTAGGAACAAGGATGCACAATTTTTCAATGAAATTGCGGTCATCGATTGTTCAGCAACTGTGCGAATAAGATTTCTGCAGTTTGATAAATTTACGATATTTCTATTTCATTTGTATGATTAGTAATGATGCTGCCGGTGAATAAAGAAGATAGTGATAGTAGTAGTGATAATGACGATAGCGAGCTATAATGATAACGGCCGGTGATGTAGCGGTGGTGGTAATGCCAGTGATAGCGCTACGTGATAATCATAGCAGATATGATAACGATAGTAGTAGTAGTAGTGGTGATAAAGCATTGATGGTGATGATAACGATGGTGATGGTAGTGGTAACGGCAGCAATGATAAAGATATTAATAATTATAGTGATGGTAACGATGATAACTGTGATGCACATTGTAAATAAATAATGATAAATGATGATGAACTGTACTGCAATTTATTGCATTGGGAGAGTATTGTATCAACAAAATGTGGCGGGAGGAGCAGGTGAAGGAAAAGAATCGAAGTGATAGGTAATATAATTAATCCGATATACATGCACCTACTCACAGATATACACATGCATACCTCCTACACAAATACGTACATGTATTTATTCTTGCATATGCAGATTTATATCTACCCACATGTATATACGCTTATCCTATCCGTATTCTAATATATTATACTCACATATACACATATGTATACATATATATATATACCTACATATACTTGCATACGTAGGTCTATATATCTACTTTGACATACAGACATGTCTATAGAAAAGGTAGAGGTAGTGAAATTCAGAGAGATGACATATGAAGAGGGCGATTTTAGAGTTCTTGGAGAGGATGAAAAGAGCGATTTTAAAGAGGAGAGAGAAGAGAGATTCGTCAGTTGGTTCGTATGAGTGGAAGGATAGTCAAAGGGACCCTTGACAAGACGATAATCTTTCGCGCGGTCGGTTCTTGTAGTAGTGAAATGAGTGGATGTCTCTTTTGTCATCGTGTTATCAACCTTTGTAACATTTTTACTGTAATTAGTAGCGCGATTTTTTTAACGCAATTAGTAGTGCTATTAGCATAGCAATATTAAATATTTCGACTGTTCAGAATATTAAGATGTCATTGTAAGGTCGGAGTTCTTCTGAGATGTCTTAGTTACCGAGAGATGTCGGAATAGAATTATAGTGAGCGTTTCAATTTTAGAGATAGCGACATTGTCTAGATGTCGAAGAAAAGGACCTTGATTTCTATTCTCGTGAGTTGTTTCGTAAAATCTGTAACACCGTAGCTGTTCAATCCTGAGAAATCGATCCTGTATAATTGTCGATTTAGTACCTAATGAAAGACTGATTTGAGGTACTGAAAAGAATAGCAACGTTGTGAAAAGAACAAACAGAAACAAGGCGTGGTACGGTGTTCACGATGGCATCCGGAAATCGTAATGTCTAATCTTCACCGCTCGTATATATTTCTGATCAAGCAGTCGATTTCCGTGGATCAAATCGCTTTTTTATCCCTTTATTCTTGTTTCTACTATTTCCAATAGGGCATTTGTTGTTTTTGACATACAAAGAACGAATGAATAGTGGAATGGTAAGAGAGGATTCGGATGTCGCATTGGAAGCATCCCATTTCGCTTTCCTTCAACAGAACAAAAGTGTTTTGGCAAATAATGTTCTCTGGAAGCGGAAAGTATGTTTTCGTTTTTTCGCATATTTTTAGTCTATTCATTTGTCAGAAATCGAATTAAATTACGCTGCTTATCGCGATACTGGATGACTATTGCAACTTGTAATAAATTTTCACTATGTTTTAACACAATATGATATACTTTATATTTCGATCCTCTAAAATTTAAGCTGTTAAGTCAAGTAAATTTGTTAGTCATCATAGTTACGTTTTAGCTGATAGGGACGAGGACATTTTTTATTGAAGTCACAAATGTGAGTTTTTTTATTTTCAATCCTGCAGCAGTGGAATTCTTTTCCTCCACATTTGCAGTTTTATCTTTATGCAGTCTTTAAAGTATTTTGGATTTTAATATGAATGAGTTCAGCTATGTTGAAGCGTGCCATGAGATTTGGAAATCAAATTTTTGGGATATCTTGGGATGTTTTACTTCAGCTATGAAAGTTTTGCATCGAAATTCTATATATGTTGTAGATCATTAGTAGTGGAAAATCCACTGGCTAATAAAATTTTAATCTGTAATTATCACTGATTAAGGATTATGATATTCACACAATATTTTGCAGAATTAATTTTGGAAAAGCTTCTTTTCAATCAGCAATTTTAATGCTTTTTTCCTTAAGCAAAGAAGTGGTGCAGTGTATATTTTTGTATTCATTAAACAAGCGATGTTTCAAAAATGAATCAACTTTAGAGTGAGTGACGTTAAAGTTTAAATGGTTTTACTGTCATATAGAGGAGCATCAATATTCGGTTTATGCTAATATTCTTCATTGTTGTCTTTTTTTCTATATTTTCCTACATTTAAGTTTACAGATTTTAGAAGAGTTGCAGAGTGTGAGGGCATTCTTTTTTTATTTAACTGATTTTTTGTGTTTTTATACTCCTGAATTTATGCAGAATTCATAGTCTGAGTTTGCCTGAGAAGTGTACAAAAATATAATGTGGTTTGAGAATTCACTCCGTATTATACCCTAATCTAGAAATCTTCAAGGATGAGCACTACAGATTACAACATTTGCTTGCGAAATCTCTTTTTCTATTTTAATGTCTTTTTTCGTTGCATGATGCTTAGTAGGATCGGGTAATAAAGATGATCGTATTGTTATTGCTTGTATCGTCAGTATTATTACGTAATTGCACATATCATTAGACCCTTCTTGTAGAAGGAGAGGGAAAAGAAAATTGGAAGAGCGAGACTCGGTTGGGAAATGTCGGCAGGTTTACCTCTTACTGTTAATTTGATCTCATCTTTGTTTGTTTCGATAATGTCCTCGCATGTAATATTTATTTGTTTTTTATTGTTTATTGGATGAAGAAACGCTGTTTATTTTGTTCGTTGAATGCTTTCGGTTGTTTGAAGAAAATTAAGATAGGTTACTTTTCGGTTGTTTGAGAAAGATTATGATAGGTTATTCAAATTAAAAACAAAATTATGTTCTTTTTACCGCCGTGAACGATTTAACTATCGTTCCATAATGAATGGGGAAAAAGCTGTTGAAATGGAGTTGTCAATGGGTCATTCAAAATTTTTAAATTAAAATTTTCATGGAGTGCAAAAATTTTGTTTCAGGAACAGCTAGTGAAATGGGAAGCATCAGAAACGAATCGTTTGCCATCAGTTCGAAAGCTTGATCGTGAATCGAAAGTCAAGTTTACAGTAAGTCAGTTGGTGTATATCAAAAATTGTGATAGTAATAATTTATTAAGACAGAAATTTTTTCATCGACACTGTGGCTGGAAAGTGATGCAAAATGATCCGTTCTAAAGTTTAAGTCATGATTTTTTTGTTTTCATACTTTTGAGAATTTTTTCTACTCATGATTATTGAACACCTAACAGACAAATCTGAATAACAGCAGGGGTTTTTCTAATAGCTGAGTTTAAGATCCAAGACCTTGTAGGAAGAGGACATATTTCTGAGTGCTTGCTTAAGTGGTGATCTAGAAGAAGTGCAGACATTACTCGACGATGGTGCAAACATTAACACTACTACAGTGGATGGTCTTACAGCTTTACATCAGGTCACTTTGTTATGCAGTTTCTTAATTGATAATTTGTTATGCTTAAAGTTGTAAATAACTTTAAATTATGATTGGCTTTTTCACTTTTTTCGATGAGTGTCAATTACTTTTTTCCAAAGTTAGTTGTTGATAGTTGTTGCCTTTTACAACTTTTTGTTTTCAAACTTTCAAAATAATTGAAAGATATTAGCAATCCAACTAAGTAAACTTTTCCATATCAAAATGTGTTTAAAAGATTTTTATAGTTAAGCTTTTTAACTATTTTGGGTCCAGCGCTCCGACAATAGTAGTGTTTTTGTTATTTGATATCTAATGAAGGTTTATGGGAAAAAAAATCATTTTACTGATTGCTGGTCCAAGTGATGGGTGCCTATGTCCGTCCTTTTCATCGAGTCCAAGGAATCCATCGAATCCAAAGAATCGTTAAAGCCAGCGCTTCAACCTACATTGTCTCTCATCATCATTCGTAAAAGAGGTGATGTAGTGAAGTACAGTTTTTAATTTGCAACATCCCGTGTGTATTCATTCAAATTATATTGAAGGCAGTTATCGATGGCAAACCTAAGATGGTGCAGTTTTTAGTGGAGCATGGAGCTAATCTCAATGCACAAGATAATGAAGGTTTGTTCATTTGATTTTTTTATTTTATTTTCTGTGGATTATCAGTCATGATTCTTGCTTATTTTTTTCATGGACAAACAACTTTTTTACTCAGTTTTTATATTCCTTAAGGAAGAAAATTCGTGTCCAGTTTTTAGACTTTCTGATGTGCTAAACGAGTATGCCCGTTTCTATGATGGAGTTAATCCACTTTTTCTTATAGATAGGGGTATTTTTGGTTGTTATTCAAAAAATTTCCCCTCGCCTTCTTTAACTAATAAAAATTAATTTTCTTTAGGTTGGACTCCATTACACGCAGCAGCTTGTTGTGGAAATGTTGATTTAGTCGAATATCTATGTGCGGAGGGTGCCGATCTTTCTATAACAAATACCGACAAGGAATTATCTGTCGACTTGGCAGAGGAAGATGACTGTCGCTTGGCTCTGGAAGAGGAACATCAACGACAAGGCATTAATCCTGATGAATGTCGAAATAGGTAAATACATTTATTTTATTTATTTTATTTTATTTTGATTCAGTTATATTGACCAAGATCTTTACCATTTTAATTAGCGAATCTTGAAGGAGAATAGCCTAACTGTGAGCATTATTTAATGCGTGCACAACTGTGTTGGGTTTGCAACCAAAATCTCCAAATATAAGACAGTTGTCACTGTACTAATCTGTATTATAGAGAATTAGCAATGATGAGACGCGATGCAGAACAGTGGCTGAAGGATGGTGAAATGCATGATCATCCGCATTCTCGAACTGGTGCTACAGCGCTTCATGTCGCAGCCGCAAAAGGGTTTCTATTCGTTCCATTATAAGAGAATCAAGTCAAATTTAGAAAATTATATGTTGCTCAAAGCTTGGACCAAGAACTACGTATTTTTAATATTTAATTTATTTTGCTTTAAATATAATTAGCAGCACTTGGTTGCTATGACTTACAGTCGATAACACAACTGAGTTATTAGTAATAGAACTCAGTCTTCTGTGGGAACACTTTCACTTTTTTCGATTGTATTACATTTTACGATAATTCATTATATTGGAATATGTTTTTGCGGCATTTGAAACTGGATAGAAACTAAACTGAATTTTCCGAATCTTTTTAATCTCACCACCTTATTCTTCCAGCGCATAAATCATTTCTTAGTTTATTCTATTGAAATGATTTGAAGATTGTCAAGTTATTTTAGATATAACGATGTAATGAGGTTGTTGATTAAAGCCGGTGCCGATGTGAACTGTCGTGATCGTGATGGTTGGACCCCGCTTCATGCTGCTGCTCATTGGGCTGAGCATGAAGCTGCAGCTATTCTTATTCAAAATGGTGCCTCTTTTTCCGAACTCTCCAATAATGTTAGTACTATATAACTGGATATTTTGCATAGTTTTTTTTCTTGTTGAGGATAATAGACATTACATGGCATGAAATATCTGAGAACAGTTATAATTCTGTTTGAAAGGTAGTCTAGTATAATAGGAATAAAATGAATGAAAGCAAATGATAGTTTAAGATTCAGATATTTTTTTCGACTTGCAAATTAAATCAACTAATAAGTTGAAATGAACGAATAACCAATTGGTGAATTGAATTCCACTGATTTTTCTATGCTTTTAGGGTGAAACAGTATTGAATGTTGCTGATAAAGATATCGTTGAATACTTAGAAGAAATGCAAGAAAAAGAACGGTTGAGATTGACTTCCAACAGTTCTATTAATGTGTTGGTGCACTCTAATGCACCACTTAAAAGGTTCAACTTTTAAAATCCTTATTTATTGCCGAATTCTTAGAAAGGAATTTAAGCAAAATAACCATTAATTTATTTGATTGATCTGACATTGTTATGACTCATGTCCCACTATGTCTGATTAAACTATTTCCTTCAAAATTGTTGATTATATTGCACCTGTATAATTACCGAATTTAATAGAATAATCTGTTTTAGAATTTGACTTTTTGCTTGGCTTATTATGCTAATCTTTACATTTCGAAAATTTTGTAGGGCCGGTTCTACAACTTCTGTATTAAGAATGTCTACAGAAGAAAAGACAAAGAAAACAAAATTGGATGAACAAGATGAAAAAAAGGAGCTTAAAGATGGTGATTACTCGTTTATTATTGAGGAAAAGTCTCCGTCTCCATCTGTAGAAGTTCGATTACCGTTCCCAGTGAAACAACAGCTCGACACTTCTGAATCTCCCTCTGAGGAAGAAAGGTATGTCTTTATCGGGAAGATTTCTAGCTTAAATGATAGAAATGCTTTTCGATTTGTATGCTTGTGTGAAATAGTTCCATCGTGCGGAAATTAAGAACAATGCATAAGTTAAAGCATTTTTTACATCTGGGCATTGTTTCTAGTTTGTTTTTATGTGTTTTATTTTATTTCTCCGTCCCATATAAATGAATGGATTAGACATATGTTAATTTGTTACATCGAGCTCAAAACAGAAAAAGCATTATGATAACTTTGATTAGGGCAGGAAATAACTGCATAAACAATTGGTAACAATGGTTGATGATAGATAAGGTGAATAGTATATCGCTAATTTTCGCTAATTCTTATGAATGTTTACAATTCAGATCGTCTCCCAAATCAAATAGCGAAGGTTGTAGTGAAGGGAAGACTGCTTCGAATCCTGAATCTAGGAGCAGCGATACAGATAAGAGTGGATCATGTGCAACCGAATCAGATGCTTTTTCCGAAGTTGATCAAAAAAGAAATGTAACGGTGGAGGATAGATTGGCACGTGTTGCAACTTCGACAGCTTCATCTGCTCCTTCTCCTATCGCCTCAGCATTCGTAAACGAGTCAAAATCTTCGTCAGAAGTGTTACGGAATTCAACTTCCCCTTCATCATCCACAACAATCGTTAGTTTACTAAATGCAAGATTATCTGAAGTAGGGATCACTGGAATTTTGTCAACCAATCTGTTAAAGCAAATCAGGACATCTAGAGTTTAATTGCTGAGTTAATTAAATAAAATAGACCTAACTAAATTATGTTATTATAACATCACTGTTGAGAAATACATTACAGCTGATAACAATAAATTCTGTAAATATTAAATTTTCTCCATAAAATCACTTGTTTATTAAGCACTACTATTATTAATGCTACTGGACTACTATAAAATAAGTTGTCTGTATATACATTCATATTTGTCCGTCAGCTTTACAATATTTTCTTTCCTTTTATTCATTTCTTGTTGTTACAGCATGATCATTTTTTTGCTGTGAGGAAAGATCATGAATTCGTGATGGAATATTATACATCATGAATTCAGGGAAGTGATATAAATTTACAGACATATTGATGTATAAGCATGAGTGTATATTTGTCAGCTGGTGGTCTATATAGCGCTTTTAAAGATGGTAAACTGCAGTGTACCATCATTTTTCAAAGCTTGACATATCCGAAAGTATGTTTTCAGAGCAGTCTGATATCACGATCTGCCAGTATTGATTCTAATTCTTCGATTGCATTGCCGCAGAATCAGTCGAAGCTCAAAGGTCATTCTGCAGAAAAAGAATTTGCAACAACGACAGCCTCCTTGGAGCCATCGACCCGTTTCAGTAAATCGTAAGCGAATAACTTATTCGTATTAAATTTAGGTTTCTTTGATTATTCATAATGCGGGAAGCAGCTTTATAATATTATAGCGGAAAACAAAGCTTCATTGTTGTGAGAGTTCTTCAAGCTGTTTTTTATGCTTACTTTTTTGAATAATTCTTGATTCTTATCTTTTTAGTGAATCACCCTTTTTGTTTCAGACGGGGATCCTTTAAAAATTATTTTCATACGTTGCTTGCCAAAAACTCTCAACTGTCAAGACTCCTTCTAATTGCTCATTAACTTTTGAGGCTGAATTGCTCAAACATCAATCTTTGATAATAATATTTGAGCTAAGCTGTTTCGCAGTTTAAACAATTTTTTTTAGTCACTGATTTTATAACTTATTGAGATCTGAAATGTATATATACCATTCTTTTTATTTCTCTGTCTTATTATAGCTATTTTTTGCTACCTTTACTGCACAGACACACACTAAATAGATTAATTGTGATTACACAAGAAAATCAAGTTATTCAAGTTGTTGAGAAATTCGATCTTAGGTTGACTTAATTTTTTTTTCTGAAGTGTTGTAAGAGATTCATCTTTATCATTTTCGAGATATTAACGTAACCCCATCATTCTTTATAGAAAAATTAGTCATTATATACGTGTTATGCTAATCTTTCCTTCTAACTTATATTCATTGCTTTGCATGTATTTGCTGCATGACACAGCGTGTCCTTATTTTCAGCTGCCAATAAGTTTTTTTCTGAAATGTGATCTTCATTCTTCATTTCAAAAAAAAAACGACAAATTTAGTGTCAGTTTGCAACGATCAGCAGCAGCACCTGTCCCATGGATGCCTCTGTATCGTAATTCGGCAATCAAAGGCCCGCTACATCCGGCTTTTGCGCATTTTCAAGCTGCTGTACGACAAGCTGCTACCAGCACTATGAATAGATGTCAACCAGTAACGAACGCTTGTTCATTGCAGACTACCGTACCATCTTTGTCAAGGTGCTTCATTCCTTTTTGTTGTTTTTGTTCGTCGTGTATTGTTTATGAGTTAAAATTATAATGCTTTATTGCTCAAATATTTCTACAATTCTTTTTTTCCTAAAGCTAACCCTATGAAAGCTTTCATGAGAGAAATTTTTGTCGTAGTTTTCTTATTTTATAGTACCTAACTAAATGTTTTAAGAAGGAAAAGAGTGAAATCATTCATTTGTTCCAAATGATTGAATAGATCATTCACTGCTGGTGCTTGTTTTAAGCTGTTAGTGCGGCCGGTAAGCTTTTTTATTCGGCCGGCTCATACTTTTCATAACCGCTGGCTTTTCCACTATGTGGTAAAATATTTGAATGGGAAAGTAGTATTGTAAATGTTATCATTCGCGATGACTTGATATTTGAAGACAGTCGAAACAAGCAAACTTTTGAAAAGAAATTAATTAGCGCCATACTATGTCCTATTTGATTCCTCTAATATACCTGTGTATTTTCCATTTGCTTTGATTCGAAGTTTACTGCTGCATGAAAGCATCTTATTTTTATTTTTTTTATACGTTTTATTTTCCTAATGACAGTATGTCAGCAGTGATTACATTTAGCTAATATTGGCGTGGTATGTAGTATCCTCTCTTGGTCTGAACTTGCTGTACTTTGTATTCTCATCGACATGTAGACTTGTTTTAAGAAAAGCTTTGGAGTTTGAGTGATTTGAATCAATTGTTAGTATATTTAATGATTTTATTAAAGGGGGTCTCTTGCAACACCACCGATGGAACCAAATATGCCAAATGAAAGTGAAGCGGAACGACGTAGTAGAGCAAAACGCCAAAGAGACTCTCGCAGGTTCTTCAGCTGAGATGTGTTTATTAATTTTATTAAGATTGCTACGATTATAGGATAAGTATGATAGATTTCGAGTTAAAAGGCAAAAAGAGAGGAGGAATGCAATATCTACATTTGACATACACTGGCTTGTTTGTATCAGAGAGGGCAATCCCGTAAGAATCAGATGTCATTCATGATTGTTGAAATTCAAAAATTGGTGAATAAAGTATGTACTTACTAGATCGACTCAAGGAGTAACTCGAGACCAACTGCGCGTTGCCACAGCGCTCACTGTTCGACGTAATGACAAAGACAGAGAAAGAGAAAATGAAATACAGAGGAATGGAAAAAGCTCTTCTTCATTGGTATGATCAGTTGTTTGCATTATTGAAAAGTTTACTGTTCAGAGAACAAGAGGCTTATGCTCTCATAGTTTCTAAATATTTCAAATGTCTTTTCATCAGTTGTATTGACACAAGTAGATATACTAACTTTAATATATTATTTATACTGAAATGGAATTACTTTTTTTTGTTTCTTTATTCATATACCTAGAATGAGTGAGATAGCTGGTTGAACTTTGCTGGTTTACTTTGTCATTCCTTTAAGAAAACGTAATTTTTAGGAATCCACTCCATTTCATGAAATTGAAAAAAGAGTTGAGGAAGAAAGAAAAGATTTTGATGCCAAAACATACTCTTCTAGCCAATCGGTTTCTGCTGTTCGTCGTCGATCGCAAGTAAGTAAAGGTTTTATATTGGATGACTCAGGATAATTTATTTCATTATTTGAAAAAACAAAGATTTGTCGACATGTTTGTGAAAACATTTGAATTTTAATTTGAAATACTTTGTTTCATCATAGGCTCCAAGGACAACACGGCGTGTGACAGGTCCAGTTCGAATTGACGATGTTCAGAGTGAGGAAGCATCGGATGATTCAGTGCAAAAAATTGGTGGTGGTATATCTTCAATCAACACAACAACGCCATCATCTTCCAATGTCGATCTCTCGAATTCTAACATTGCTACTACTTCATACTTTAGAGACAGTGTCCTCACAACCATTGCTTACACTCAGGCTTCTCTTACTGGTAAAGTAAGGACTAGCCAAGTATGTTTTAGTTTTATCATTTAAATGAAAATTCGATTTTCTCAAAATGACAGAATGTGAATTGTTCGGCATTCAATTTGACATGCTTTTATTCATCGAAAATTTGGGTACAATTTACCTCGCACTCTAAGAAAGATATTACTCATCAATCGATAGTCAAAATCGCAGTATGAAGCAGTCTATTCTTCATATTAAAAAAACACTAGTTAACTGCAATTTAGAGAAGAGAAGCCGCCTTATTTTATGAGTTTACTATCACTTCTATTTCTTCCAATTTTGTTTTTAATTCGTTATAGACTAATTCGATACATATCGGTGGAGGTACAGTTACGACAGCTTCATTTCAAATGCATAATAGTAGAGCGAAATGTCAGGATACAGCTGTGGATTATAAAGTACTATATGAAAAGGAAAAACAGGAAACAGAAAGATTGCGGCGGCGAATTGAAGAGCTTACATTAGAGGTTATTCTACTTATATTATAATATATGGCACAATCAAATTGTCCATCCGTGTATATAAGTTGGATCGAAGATTAGAAAAACTACCTTTTTATACTTTCGAACATTTAGTTTGAACGTGATTATGTAATGGATATCATTCTTCAGACTGTTTGTACCAGATAATAATGATAAGGCATATGTCGTGGTACTTAATTATATTAATGAAGTTATACATTTTTTTTTTTATAATGTGTTCCCCTTTATTATAATTTTGAGTTTCTCTACATTCATTTCTTTTTATTCCATCCATAATTAAAATTATTTATTTATGTTGTTACTTCTCAAATTCTTTTTCTCGAAATATAAGCATTCTCTTCTTCCACATTATCATTTAAGAAAAACTCTAATCTGCTTGCTTATTCGGAAGGTCTTAGTAAATAAAGTGCTACGGAGCATAAGTAACACTATTTGTAATCATTATATATATATGTTTTAACTTGAGATAAATATTTGTATTAAACCACTGTACTTCATTGTTGTTCAGTGTTTAGAAATCGAATTCAGCAAACAACATTTCTTTATTGAAGTGTAATATCGGAGGACGGCTTACATCATTACCATCGCCTAATAAATCTTCATCATCAGCATCAATTAACGATCGTGAACGGCATAACTACGAACAACGAATCGCCGAAATGCAGTATGAAATTGAGGTCATTTTGAAATCTTTTTCTCTAATTATAATTCTAATTCATTTTATCCATTTTATCCGGGATATTGGAAATTACTTTGAGATTGGAAAAAATATATATTTATCTTGTGAGGTACTATTTGCTTACTTCATTCATACAAATCATGTCCTACAATTTTCTTAACTGTTAGAGATGCAAGCTTGATAAAGAACGTTGAAGTATGTGTGTGTTATGTGCATATTTTGAGCTTGAAAGATTTCTTTTTATATTAGAGACAGGAACACGTATCAGAAATGCCAGCACCTGAAAAAGTAAAATCCGGTATAAAGTAGACTGAAAGGTTCATGAAGAATTGAATGTTGAATTTCTTTGAAGCTCTAGAAATTGGTCATCATAATCTCTTCAAAATTTTTCGAAAATCTTTTTCTAGCATATTAAAAGCAAGTTCATGTTAACTTAGGAATTGAAAAAGCTGGAGAAAAGCAATGATTCGCTACGAGTGGAAAATGAAGCACTGATTCGTGTGTTATCTAAAATGAGCCGTCAACAGAGTACACCAACTTGGCCTCGGTAGTGTTAGCTTGGGTTGCACTTGGCTAACAATGCTATTGTTTCTATTACTGCTGCCTTCTCGCTTTTTATAACCTTAGCTATTTTACTCATTCGTGAACCTACTATCACACTAGAACACCTACCCATATCGAATGGTAAATCGTGAACACAAGGCTGATTTTGAGAATCGGTCCCAAAATTGTTCATGAGATTTGAATTGTGGATGGGATCATAATGTAATTAATTAAAGAGTGCAAGGTGCTGGAAGGATGAGGAATATTATATATTTGAGATTACTGACTGTTGTTTTAGATGTTCTAGTGAAGAATATCTTTTCTCAACTCGTTCAGGATATTCACTTTTTCTTCGAAATTTTTTTGCAACGTTTGACTGAACAATGTTATAGTCGATATTGCTCTATAAAAGTTTTGAATTAAGTGATCTCATCCCGATTAATATTCTAAGTCATAAAATTTTTCCTATGTTCTGGTTTGCGGTGAATCTAATTGTATTATTTTGAGTAGATAGTAGTAATCAAATATATTAATGACAGCTTATAAAGTTCAGCTTCCTACTCTTTGTTATATTTATTCTTTGAATCGTTATAGTTATTATAATAATTCGAGATACTTCAGCTTTCTTGCGTTTGAATTGTGGAGGTAAAGTGAAAGGCAGACATTCATTTTTGAAATTAGCTAGTTGGTATGCCGATTAAGTCGAGCACAAAGTTTTCGCTATTTCACCTGCGCTATGTGAGAAGCACTTTATGCTCAGCAGAGTTTGGTTTGATGCTCATTTATTAGTTAAAGCGAGCTCTAACTGCAAAACATGCTTGGAATGATGATGTGAAGTAGTTGACATGCCACGTCCAAATCTTTGAACAGCTTCACGAATTTTGTTTTGCAAATAATTTTGTTATTACATGTAGTATCACTTATATCGTATTTGAAAGTATTCCTTTTTTTCAATAACTTATAGTTTAATAAAAAGATTATTTTACTTATTTTGAGTTTTAACAAAAGAAATTTTCCGAAAACGTTATTAAATGTGCGATTTACAGCAGTTGGAGCATCTACGCGCGGACAACCAAAAATTAAAGGAAGAGAATGGAGCACTGATACGCGTAATATCAAAGCTCTCCAAATGAGCGATTCAGTTCATTATTTTTTGGACTTCTTTCCGTTCACTATTGTCCTATGAAGTGATTTATTTTTGGAATGTAGTGAAAATTTCTGGAAATACTACATGAATTAGAAACTAAGCAAGCAATGTTTTCAAGAGTAAAACTGATTGGATAATAGTGCCACCTATATCTTCTCTTGCCAGCTTGAATATTATAAATGGATTAACAAGAACTAAAGCAAAAGATTTCAAAAATACACTGCTTAACTGCTTTAAATCATTCTAATTATTAGAAAGGAATTTTCATTATGCTTTTTTGCACAAAAATGTGAAATTCTATTCTCATTTTTGTGCAAAAACTGCGTGGTCCATATGTACTTGTTGAAAGATCATTTGCTTTATAAAAATTTTACATAACGCCATATTTTACCTGAAGTAGGACAGTGCGTACTTCGATGTTTTAAGTTGTAATGGATAAAAACGTATCTTGTCATTATCCCAAAACTGTCCTACTAATTGCTCTTCTAGTTCTTTAGTCATGCTCATCCTGTGAAACATTGTGCAATTCAGTATAATGTTGTGATAAATGTATTCCAATATGTGAGGCATTGTTATTGTCTGTTTCCCTCTTCTCTGCTTTTACTGATGCTTCTTGCAGTATTTTGTCTTCCATCTATCTATTTATTTATACCAAAGTGCAGTTTGTTTGATTGAAAGCTCCAATTTTTTTGTTGAGTGCTGTACCAGCGCAGGAATGTTGCGGCATTCTCCGAGAAGTTAATGCTATTTTGATTGTTTTATAGATCTAAGATATATTTAATAATATATTGTAAAAGATTTTTATATTTTCAACGGAAACATCCAGCCTGACATATTTTTTGCATTTACTTTGTTATACTAGGATCTGTGTTTATCACTGTCATGAAAAATAGTACGATTTTGTATGCTCATTATTGTGACGCCTTACTTCTTTTGTTAACCTAAGTATATCATTCACTTACTCATATAGTAGCCTTGCGGCATGATTACACTAGATTAGTGATTCAAATGAAATGATAAAAACTGTGGGTCTAACTCCGAAATTAGAGCCTTCAGATCGTGCGAGATAGCTTCGTACCTGAAGTTAACGGAACACTAAGCTATAAATATGGTTTGTTGATTCTTTCTGCGCCCAATTTTTTTAGGGTCTTCATACAGATCCTTTTTTGAAAAAGACAATGATTTAAAAGTATTTGAGAAGGAAAGACCCACGTAGTTTTTTTGGTTAATCCGTTCCACTCTTCATTAGTGATTACTCTGCTCTGTGCCGCACATTTTCATCTATTTTTTTGAACTTTGAAATAGGTATTGAATGTGGAATATTTCTGATTATGTCTTTTTTTTCCCAGTTCATAACAAAAAGGAATAAATTTGTAAAGTATCGATATTCTTTAAATCAATAAAGATTGCACACTCCAGGGAAAGATAGTTCGAACACATGAATATGCTTAAGTAGGATTACTTTTGGAGGCTACTTGACGCTGTTAGAAAAATTTCACACTGATATTAATTTACTGATAGTTTCTCCACAAAAAAATCATGGTCGTCAAAACATAAAGAAGCAAGTTGCAGTAATGAAAACTTGAAGTGAAGCTCACCACTTCAAATTATATCCGCATTTATATTGCAATGATTGAATATCAAATAGTTGTCATCATTTTGAGACATATATTCATCATTGCAATATGAATATGAGATTCTTAAAATGATGAGAACTATCTAATATTCAAGTAACAATAAAAATTTAAAGCAACGATGTTCCTCTAAGCTTTCAGTTTAATGCTTCTCACAGTCGATACTCTGATTCCTCGAGTTTCGCCTCCATATGGAGTTAACTCCTTTCGTGCATCGGCCTTTTGTGAGTGCTTTTTGATTAACGCTTTCTTGAATTGTTTCCTCTTCTTGATTCGTGAATGTTGTGTCCCTTTCTTCCGCTTATTTTGCAAACCTTTATTCTTCTCGATCTAAATACACCGCAAAGTAAATAAATGTGAAACAGGCTATATAGCACATAATATTTAGCATTCGTTATTAAGTCGTGCTGACAAAACAACTTTCTGGAATTTCGTGAGAAATCATTATTTATTTCAGATCTTACAGAGCGAACAAAGTAATTATATTTTTCTTGACGTGACATCAATCCAAAAAAAAACTAAAAAATATTTTCGTAGATATTGCTGACAAAAAAGCTTTCGAAATTCTGGCATAAAATTGCTAGCCGTATGCATCAAAGAACTGACTTGTTTGGTTATTGAACGTTTCACAATCCCTTCCTGCAGTTCGTCACTCACAACCTGAACATCATTGTTCCTTCCATCTGATTCGATTAATTGTTGCTCATTTTTTTTACCTTCCTTAGAAATTTTCGACTTCCGTGCAAACTCTACTGTTGGCAATGTACCCAACATATTCCCGAAATTTCTTGATTTAATGCTACTTCTTATCTTCCGCAGAATGACATCGTGTTTTTCAAGGAACTGCATAACAACGAACACTTTCTATAACATATTACAGAGCTTGAAACAATCATTAAATATACATAATATGCCTAAGAATGTCATTAAAGCGAAGAACAGAACTAATAAACATAATGTTGCTCGAAGACATAACGAACAAATTGCTCCTCAGCAAACGGTTCAAATATCCAAGTGAGATCTAGCAGTTGCTATCCAATATTATTCTTATTATTGCTGACAGAGCGTTCAAAAAGTGTACCATAAAAAGATTTACTTTTCGAAGAGTTGAGAGAGCCTGCAGAACAGGATGATCAATAAACTGAGGAAGCTGATAAGAATTGCCGGCAATCTTTATGTGAATTGCAAACAACAAATTGGTTAGGTATCTGAAGAATGCGCTTGATTTGTTCCTTTATTAATTTCTATTGCTTATAAAAGTCACGTCATTTCATTTGCGAAAAAGTTAATGTGTATGTTTCTATATTACTGATTATCACATAAATGATGAGAACGAGAGTTTAGAATTCACTGATATACGAAATGTCCTCTTTCCGCTTCTATGATTTATGGAATTAATCAAAAAACTTAAATGTGATTCAATTTTTTTTCGTAATGAGTGTTTTTCACTTTTCAGAGCGTCCTTCCTGTTTGGAAATCAAAAATAAATGAATGAAGAGTTCCAGCTCTCCGGAAATATTTTCCTTTTTTTCTTAACTTACCCGATTGAAATGTGGAATATAAAAAATAAAAATAAAAAATAACTCTTGTGGTACAATTTATCGGTGGAGTTAATGGGTTATCCCTAACTTTATGGGTAACAGCAAAAAATTAAACTAACAAGAATATAAAATGAGAGAAAAGAATCTTCCTCCTTAAATATAGTATCGATAAATTGTACCACATGAAATAATCGCCTCAAAATAGCAAAATCTTACCTCGAAAATACATTAACTGCAAGACGTAGTTGCTTTTCTAGTACTAAGCCTGGTCGAAAATGTTTCATTGAATAAGTCAAATCTAAGAGGGGAAGCACATCGCTTAGAAAATATGCTCTCTGCAAAATGACACAATTAAATTTGACAATAGGTTCCGAATTCTTTAAATGATCATCTCGTATCATGGTCAACTTGAAATCCAAAATAAAAAAAAGCTCTTGCCATTTTTGCAACATTTAAACATGATCTTATTATTTTTTCCCGGGAAATGTACCAAATTATATAAGCGGATCTTCACAACGGTCATTAAAAGGAAGAAAGGAAATATGCAAGTCGATGTAATATATTAAAATCGTTTTTAATAAATTACATCGGCTTGCATATTTTTTAAAAGACTTTATACACAGAGCCGTCTAGATTTTCTGATATTTATTAAGAAAACCTTGCCTTCGCTTGATATTCATTAAGTATCTGCTCCAAATCAGGATTAACTTTTAAAAAATATTGGTATTGTTCTTCTGCAGTCATGCTATCGATATCTGGAGGTTCATCCAAATCACAAGCGGTTTTATCTTCCTGAATTTCATCCTGGAAATATAGGCATTGTTGTATTGAAGTTAACCCAATGAATTTCAAACTGCTTAATCTAGTGCAAACCTGGAATTGCATGGGCAAAAGACCAAGAGCAGCGTCTAGTTTCTTCTGCCTTACAATGGCGTCCTCTTCTTCCAGTTCGGCTAATTCTGCTTCTGTTTCATTCATGCCACCCCAGTCCTCGTCGACATATGAAGTGTTGTAGAAACTTCTTCGACCACTACCCCATTTATCCGCCGAAGGTAATACTGAAACCATAAGTTCTCGCTTTGTTCAACTGATCATATCAAATAGCAGCATATGATGTGTACTCTAACTAAATTAGTAACCAACTCCATCACCGTGAACCCCTAAATATTATTACCTACACTTTAAAAGGAAGTCTTGTAAATTTTTTCATCTTGATTTCATTTGAGATGACGATGAGACGAACGAATGTCTTCTACAAACAGTCTGCTGAGATCAAACTGCTAACACTTCTACTCTGCCGCTAATGCATAAAGAAATGCAGAAAAAAGATATTGCTAATTACATTAAGGATCACAAAGACTTACAGTTCTCGACATTATTTAAATCATTTTCGTCAGAATCCGAAAAAAGATTTTTTTCCTCTTCATTGTCATAATTAGAATCATCATCATTTGATGAATCGCCTTCGACGTTTAATACCTCTACCTGCCTACGAACCACAGTATCTACCTTGTCACCATCAGGCATATCCAGTGACATATAATGCCGATCAATTTCATCGTAAATCTCGTCACTATCTTCTTCCGAATTCATTTTGTCCTGAAAACAAGTGAATAACAATTCGACTAAATTTAAAGCAATAGGTCATCTTTTTGCTTTTGAAGGAATATAACAAGCATACAAAGATTTTCAGTAAATGAATCAGACCTTATGGAATTAAGAATACGATAAAGTGATTCGTGATTCAATTGTTTAATCAAATTCAAAGTATTAACTATCATTTCGTCATCTCTTATAAGAGAAAACGTATACATCGACAGGATTAATTTAATTTATGTACATTAAAAGTAAATACGATAAATTTCGAAACATTTATATGATAGAATTCGAAAATATTTAGAAAAGTCATTACGTCCTATTCCTACGATAAAAACAACATTTTTAGCTAAAATAAAATTAAAAGATTTAGCCAAACGATAAAGACTATTGGAGAATATTCGCATAAACTGAAAACATTCTTGAAATCATTGCTCAAGCCTATCAGAGAGGAAGTAAGCACAAGAGACTCTACCAGCTCAACTTAAGTAAAATCGTTTAGAAGTCAATTCATCTCTGAACCAAGCTCTTGCATATTCGTAGCATGCCACCATTTATGAGACGCGTTATTTTTGCGGCGGGGTAGTTTGAATTCGAGAGTATGTTCTTCAGTGGTGGCTTCAGAATGCGCGAGATGTAGTGGGTTGGTGGGAGCATCGCCAAATTACTGTTTCGAACAAAAATTTTACGAATTATTTTTTAAGAGTAAGATATATACTTTCATCAATTCTAAAAACATTCTTTAGATTACAACTTATCCCATCCCTCTTTGTCTCTGTCCTGTCCTTCTTATTCTCTTTTCGAAATTCTGTAATTATTCCTTTTCTATTTTTATGATGTAATAAAACGTTTTCAGACATTACCACTCTTTGCAATTGTTGTGGGAGGCGGTCAGCCTTTCTTTATATGAATCGATAAAATTAGTCGAAATCCGAAATCGCTTACTTGTTAGTGACACTGACATACAACAGAACGGTGACGTTAATAAGTTATTGTCTCAAACAAATCGAATAAATTGTTGGAGGGACGGTGGGTTTTCAAATTCGTAGAGGGTTTTTTTTTAGGAACGTAGAAGTTTCCGAAGAGAGGAAAAAGCAGATTAAGAAATCGTAACTTTAGAATTAAGTTTACTGTAGTGTTGGGGGTTAAGGCAGCGATAATAGAAAGAAAATGAAGATAAGCAAAATAGGTTGTAGTTAAAAGTTAAGGATATTGTTAAAAACAAAGGTTTTCCTTCATCAATATTTTTGGTAGAAAGTACAAAGATACAGTATAGTTTGATTGATAGAAAAAAATGTAATTATGTGGCATGTTACAGCTTCACTTTTCTTAAAATGTACGAAATGATTTGAGATTGTTGATTCTATGAAGATGATCGATAAACTAGGCAATAAACCTAGACTTGTATTTAATTGTGAGTTGTTGTTGTGGAAGCCTGGACAAATTTATTAATTGAAGTTAAAGATCGGATAGCATCTGAGTTGAAAAATTGAATTATTCATGTTGTGAAGGTTAAAGTAATCACAATTATAAAATTATATGTATCATTTTGTAGTGATACACTGCTGAACATGTAGTTCAATTAGTGTATCCCAAAATATTAGTGGATACAAAGAATGTTTCAGGATATGTTCTGGTCGAGCGATCTGGCAGTTTCTGTAAGTAAACTAGATGAATTACTAAAGAACGATACTGCGACGCTAGCAGATGTGTTGGAAGATGATTATACGATACAAGAAATTCGCAATGGCAACCATCAGCTCATTAAATTGTTCGTTTGAATTCATACCTTTATATTATTACTCATTACTGGACACTCATTACTCGAGATTTCAAGTCATTACCTATGTTGTCCAGATATGGTGGTCATTCGACATCGCCTGTTTTGTGCCGATGATATCATGAATAAATGCATGATGTTTTCCATCAGTTTAATATATTCGAGATGAAAACTGTTAATGATTAGATGTTCCCAAATGCTAGCATAAGCTTTAAGGCTATCTGCGGAGTATTTTATAATAGTGCAGCAGCTGAGTTACATGGTACTACAAGCCATGTTCGCTTTCTAGATGTTTTTAGGTACAAATATTATTTGTTCTGTTTCGCCTTTGCTAGTTAGGGTGTTGATGGTTTTAAGGAAGACGAATCCTAAGAAAAATTTTCATTTTTTATGAACCTATACTTGCAGTTTAACAAGGCAAGAAATAGTGGCGCAAATAATCAAAGGTGCATTGGAACCAGAAATCGATGAAACATTACCAGTGAAGGAACAGTACAAGTATTTTTTGTTTTTATCTTCTCTCACATCATTAAGCCTTTAAAAACTTACGAGATGCTTCGTTTATTAAAGATTTCAAACAAAAGATATAATCATTTAATGGTTTAACATCAGTTGTTGGAAAAATTCGAATATGAAACTTGTCATTTGTATTTACAGGAAAGCTTACTTATGTGCCGAAATTTTATCGATAAATAATGAAGAGCTTAGTAGGGCAATTATCAGTAATGAAGAAGCGTGCAGTTTATTTTTCGATTTCCTGGACAGCAGGAAATTGAACCACGTCATCGTCAATTTTTATATGAGAATATTCTCACAAATTATTAATAGATTTCCTGATCAGGTATGTATTTAATTTTTTTTTTGTTTTTATTTTCCAAATAATATGTATTTATACAGTACAATGCTAATCATGTGTATTAATAAACCTCCCTTCGGGAAGAGTAGGTTAGTTGGGAATCCCTTATTATCCTTTAGTTGTTAATTCGGTCTTATGAATCTTTGAAGATAGTTTTTTATATTTTTATAATAGGAATTAAAAAGCGAAAACTATGAACGACTCAGTTAACGGGACAAGTTAGGCAATAGTCTCGAGTCTGTTCCTGACATGATCTTGTTTGCTCGAAAGCGCATTTTTTTTACTGATTATCAGGACATTAATTTTTTTTTTCTTGAAGGATGCTTTAGGTGATTTATGCATTTTGATTAGTAACTAAAATTTTTGGTTTTTACTTATTGCGTTCACATTATTTATTTTTAGCTAGAAATGGTGCTAAGGTAAAGATTTATGATGAATTTAGATATTTCCTCGCATGAAGGAAAGTCAGTTTTTAATTCACTGTATGAGGAGTATGAAGCATTCGGCTGTAATGGAACTATTATACCGTATAGTTAGTGGCCTATCAAATGTTGAATACCAAGATTACATCAAACAGGTATTGGTGAATTGATCATTTTATGATTGTGTCCACTGTTTTATTGAGTTGATTGTACAATTAAACAAAATTGATATATTTCAGTGGTGTGCGGAAAGTCGAATGGTGGAAAGTCTTTGCGATCTTCTTGTTCCAGAACAACCACCTATCGTATGTTTTATTATTGTATCTGAGTTATAACTATGTAAATGATCTTAAGAACCATTGCCGGAACCAAACTTTCACTTGGCTGTCATTTCTTCAATTGATATGATTGAAGCTAATCATTAAAAATTACTTCGCTCTATAGCGCGTTTAAGAAACTTTCATTTTGTTCATAGGTTCATGACAATGTTGGTCATTTATGGAGTGAATTGGTACGCATGCTGCGTGATATACAGTACACCGCAGAATGCAAACGGCATGATGCCTTATTAGAGAGCTTGCAATCAGAACGGAATGTGCGGAGTTTAATGAGTCGTATGTTACCTGACAATATGGAACAGCGTCGTGATTCTGTTATTGTCAATGCTGCCGCTATTTTGATTACTCTTTTGGAAACTAATTTTATCCCTAACTGGTTTGTTTTTTTTCTTTGGACAACGCGAAATGTTGTATAGAGAACTCTTGTAAGGAGACAACAACCTTGCTTTAGTAAAATGGAGAAATTCATAGCTTAGCATTGCTTCAAAAACTCCATAGTTTACTTTTCCAAAAGTGCCATTGTTTTCTAATTTTTTTTTTTGCAAAATTACTCTAGTTAGTAATTTCCAGTCCCAGTCATCAGTTAGGGATGGAGGATCGTGGTATTCAGACGCAATGGTACGGTGGTGTGCCAGTCGCAGAAAATGAATTAAATGGTACAACGGTGTGGCAGCCTGATGCAGGTTATATTGTTGAGACAGTTGTTGCTGCTTCAGCTGATCGAATTGCCAGTGCAATAATTGATTCTCTCAAGGTAATTGATTCTCAGACGAACATTCACATGGCGGCATATTGTTGGAAATTTTTTTAGATTTTTATATAATTAACTACTTTAAAGAGACTTTTATTTCCATTTGTATTTTTTTGCACACATTTCTATTATAAGTTCATTAATAATTAAAAAAAAGCATTAAAACGCTTGCATAGTTCGAAATATTAAGAAAACTTTCCACATTGAGTGTCTTATGTTAATTTTCCTCTTACGTCATGATTTGTAATGATTGTATAATTTTTATTGTTTTCAGGAATTTATTCACAAATATATTTGCTTGCAGGTAGGAGATGGTGATATAAAGATCTGCAGCGATGCATGGTGTCCACTGATGCGATTGTTGGTACTAGTATTAGATACAAATCATATGGCAACACATCAGGCTGTTTTGGCGGCATTTTCATCTCTTTCAATAAGTCCATTCAAACTCTTCCTCGCTTATGTCAATACTCACCCTCAACTTACACTCTTTCAAAATCTTTTACATCGAGCCATTGCTTATATTCTTTATACACTTTCATCTTCTCCGTCGCCGCTTATACAGTATTTATTTAAAGTAGGTTTTCGAGAACTTGTAGTCCTTGTCTGCGTTATAGACATATGGTATACATCGTTTAATTATAGTTCTAATTAGGTAATCTGTATTAAACATTTCATTCTTCTGGAAAATAATCGATCCAACTGTAAGCATTGTTTTTTATTTCACTACTCTGTAGTGCACCCTTCAGTAACGGAATGTTTTTGTGGAAAAGGCTTAGATAGGATGGAGTTGCAGTTAAATTCGAAAAAAATTCATATAAATTAACTAGATTGTAGTGATCCTCTTATTTCGTAAGCTTTTTTGATTCAGTTCTTTGATTTTCTTTAAAATTAAAAACTAATTTTCCAGGATGTAGATATATTAGAGCATATATTGGCAGGTTCTGAAACATCACAAGCCGACTTTCTACATGGATCTTCAAAAAGAATGCTTCGAGGTTTTTATATGAATCTTGCATTATTAATTAAATGTGCTTCCGAATCATCATGCAATGCCGAATGTATCATTCAGTTTATTCAAGGTTAGATTCAGTTTCTTGAATGTGTTTGCATATATCTTATTCGGGCGGTAATTGTTTCCTTTGTTTTTTTCTTATCGAATAAAGAAGTATACTATTAATAAGCATAGATACATATCTGCTGATGATGAGTACAATTGTTAGTGTGTTTCTAGCATCTGATCAAGCTGCCCGTTGGGAAGCTTTCTCAAATGCGATAAAAGAATACGAAGAGAAAAATCGTGGCGATGATACAGGAATCACTTTCCCACCGACTAGTAATGTCCTCGATACGGCCAAGATTGATGCATGTGATGTTCCCGAACCTATGGTTAGCAGTGCCGCAGAGGTATTGTAATTTGGTTACATGTATTTTACTTATTCTATCAGGTTTAAAATATTTTCTTTCTGAATAGTAAAGGCTTTTTTGAATAAAATATTTTTTTACCCATCCTCTACGACTTTTGGCTTGTAAAGTGGCTCGAAGAGCTTTAAGATTAGGCATAAAGAAGCTGGCACGAGCTAATTGTTTTAAATTATTTCGAGTTGCAGTTAATGGATAAGTATGAGCAGTATTTAATATCCCGGTCGCTAGCAGAAAATGTTGCAATATCATTCCCGTGTTCTTCTCACGACACTGAGTATGCAAATTTATTACATTAACAACAATGTTTTAGTGCTGAATATTAGAGTTATAAAGTTTTGGTATACAGCTTCATTAAGGTAATAATATTGCTGATGCAAAGAAATATCTCATTAGACATTACAATTGAGATAGGTGCTGTGAAATTGCGAATAGTATCAAAAATCTATTGTATAAATTTCCTTGAAATCTCATAAATCTTTTGCTTCAAAGATAATCGGTGATTCTCTTCCTTTTTCATGAAAATTTTTGGACAAAAAGCTTTGTTCTCCAAATATTTATTTGATAAATTTATATAATTTTAGTTATGAGGTCACCGATATCACGTCGGATTGCGATATTGCGAGAGATTTTGCTAACATTGTAAGTTCTTTCTTCGATCATTCAATTTTATAAGTTTCTGATGTGAATGCTTGTATTAATAAATGTTGTTTAGGGAAATGAAGATATGTTCGATGCAATGTGTGCACTGAGAATCGACACAAGTATTACAAGTAAGGATTCAGGAGATGGATGGCCAAATGCAAGCAGGCCCAAGGTATTTCAACGATTCACAAAAATTCCAGTGCAAGGAAATGAAGACGGGATGAATTATTCAGGACTTAAAATCAATATGCTTTTTTGTGTAGTAATTGATTTCGTGTAGGAAGTACAGAGCAAGGCAACCAGCGATAATGGAGACGACTCAGGATCGAAGTTTTCCGTACTTTGGAACAGTGCTGCTCCCGTGTTGAATTCTAATGAAATTACTCCCAATGATATTCATGAGTCTACTGATGAAAAAGATGCACCAAAAGCGAATGTAGCCAAAGAAGAGAGAAAAATATCAAAATTTGTCATAGGTGATTTTTTTTATAAATCACGCATATAATTTAACTATCTGATAGAGTGTATTATATTAGAAAAAATTTTTATTGAGGAAAATCATCATTCATTTAAAAGTGGTTATGAGATTCAGAAAGTAAATGGCCGCAGACTTCTTCAATGCCCTCTACGGATGTCGGGAGCTGGGCCGATTTCACATCCATGAAGCCTGATGACTGGCCTCCGCCACGGTCGCAGTCAGAGGATGACGCATGGACGACGCATGGAACTAGTGAGGATATATTTCTCAGTCCTGCAACAGCGGCGCTTAGCGGTGGTATCGCGTCCGTTATTATGGCTGGACATATGAAGTAGGGATAACTTTGATTTTCGTGCATTCCATAATTAACTTTTGTTAATGTGATTGCACTTTTATGTAGATCGCTTCATGGGGTTTTGGCCAGTCTCAATGAGTAAAAGTGAATATTTCATTTGGCCTTATTACCCATCGTAATCTAAAATTTTTTATAGAAGCTGTGAATTCTGTATTACACTTAAAATTTAGCTCTATGTTTTGGTTGACACTGCGTTTTAAAGCTTTAGCAAAATGTGGAAGAAATGATTTTCTTACTGTCTTACTTTGTTGCAACTCGCATGAAATTAGGTCAGCTTTTCACCTACTAATGTGAAGTCATTAACGGAGCTGCGTTACGTAGAATGACTGGAAAATTCCTATGATTTCAGTCATTAAATTACAAGTGTTAATTTTTTGATTGACAGTGAGGTATTGTTGGTTGTTCATGTATCTTTTTAAAGTGTTATTTCTGGAAGTAAATTTAAGCATTTTTCAGGGGATCCGATTCTAAAAGTTCAGAATGTTGAAGTGGTGCATCATTTAATTTTGGATCAGAAGGATATATTTCGTTTGATTAGTGAATGTTCAGATTGGGGTTACATCAGAAGCGTTCTTGTACTGTGAAATATTATATATCTTATGTTACTGTACTCGTTATGATGTTGGCTTGGCTCTTTGATTTTTTTTATTCTTTCATTGTAAGATTTTATCTAGGTAGTAATTTTTATATATTCTGAATTTTGAAGTTGCAAGCAACATTGACGATTTTAATTTATGTTACTCTCGAGTAGGTTTTAAAAAAATAGGATATACGGGAATAATATTCTGGAACGACTCAGTATGTATTGTTACAATGGGGTAATGAAATGCAGTGAGTGATAGTGGTGAAATGATTTTGAGTTGAAGCGAGTTATATTCATGATTTTTATAGGAGCGTATGTGCACATGGTTACAGCTTATTTGAAAAAGTTTGAGGAAAAGTGAAAATTTTAGGAAAGTAGAATTATTTGTTGTACCTGTGCTCTGGTGATAATGTAAGCACTGACACTTTTTTATTGCCACAGATGAAGCAATTTTTGTAGCAGTAGTAGCTTGAAGTTGATGAGGAATAAACATACAAGACACACCAATTATATATACAGAAATGCACATTACGCATTCCTTGTCTATATTTGAAATGGAAACAATAAATGATGATTGTCTCTTGCCTGGAATTTGAAACGGTTCTAACAGTATGATAAGATTATCTTGGAGTCAGTTGTTAAAAATTTCCTACCGTAACTATTTTTTGAACTTTCCCCGTTAGCTTCCTTTCTCATCACCTAAATTTAAAATTTATCTACATGTTGTTCAAACTACGGTATCATTCTGTCACCTTCTGTTTTTTTCCTTTTACTAGTGATGTTGCATAATCTAAATTTATAAGCATGCAAGGAGAACAACTGCTGCATTCATCACTGTTGTGAGTTATGAAGTGTTAATTCAGATTACATCAGTCAGATTAGATGGATATAATAGTGGACGGTGATTAGATTCCAGGTGTCACTGACTCTTATGAAGAAGTTTCCACCGCAGATCAGTTAAAGAATAAATTTCGGAAAAGAGATCATGAAACAAATGGAGGTACAAGAAATATGGATTAACTTTTGCGAGCAAAAATTGAAAAGCAAGAATCACATTCAAATTAATACAGTTTAGATAGGGTTGATAAGGTATAATAATCAGAGGGAAGAAATTCGGCTGAGTTGTTTCTTTGAAATATGTTGGTGTAAATTTTTATTAACAATAGAAGTGAAAAGAGGATGTCGAAGCGAAAGGTACTGCTGATGGGAAAAAGCGGTTCTGGTAAGACTTCAATGCGTTCCATCATATTTGCCAACTATATTGCTCGTGATACGAATCGTCTTGGACCAACGATGGAGGTAGAGCATGCTCATGTTCGGTTAGTTATTTCGCTTTGCTTAATGTAAAGAAATTTGAAATTTTTGGTTGTCACTGTGGTCACGTATGTTTCACTAAGTAATTAGAAGTGATGTACTTTACACAATTTGTTTCTCGCTATGAACTTAAAACAACCCTCCAATCTTAGCTGCTTTTCTGTTTATAATTAGAATCAATCATAATATTAACTTGATTAAATGGCATGTGTTTTTTTCAGTTTTTAATTGTATTTGCAGTCTTGAGGAATAAGCGAAACAAATAAGGTTTGAGAACAAATAGTACTTGTACTTGTGAATATATTTGTATGTGGCCCACAGTGCTGTTCATTACAGGTTTCTGGGTAATCTAGTATTGCATCTTTGGGATTGCGGTGGTCAGGAAGCGTTCATGGAGAATTACTTGGCTTCGCAGAAAGATCAAATCTTCAAAAATGTTCAGGTATGTACTCTCTTTCATTATTAACTATTGTCTATCCAAAATCTAGATTTATTTCAAATTAATGAAATTTCCGGCGATAGCTCAACTTAGATTGCGAAATATTTAGAAGACCTTCAACTCCTTTCATTTCTTTCGATGTTTAGGTGCTGATATATGTATTCGACGTAGAAAGTCGTGAATTGGAAAAGGATTATCGATATTACCAGTCATGTCTGGAAGCATTGATTCAAAATTCACCAAATGCTAAAGTATTTTGTTTAATACACAAAATGGATTTGGTTTCTGAAGAACACAGGGATCAGGTTGGTAACTATATGTTGGTCTGTAAAATGAAGATTAGAACTATTTTTTGGAAACATTATCCTAATCATGCTGCACTTATATGTGAATTTTTTGAGAGTTTTTATAGTAAGGAACATTTATGCTTACGAATTGATATACTGGAAATTTTAATGGAATTAAGATTTGTGAAAGCTGTAGAGACACAGTTGTGTTAAATATAGGCTTACATCTGTCTATGCATCTCATTGAAACTCCAAATGGATTTCTTTCATTATTTCATAATTTAATTGCATGTTTCACGCAGCCGAAATGAGTTTCTTATATAATTATTTTAGGTATTCGCAGAGAAAGAACGAGATATAATGTTTAGATCGAAGCTTGCTGCTGAAAAATTTGGTCATGATAACGTTGTAAGGCAGTGTTACCGATCATCGATTTGGGACGAAACGCTTTACAAGGTTTATTTTCATGCTTTTCTGCTTTACAAGGTTTATTTTCATGCTTTTGTTTTTTCTACTTACTGTTTCTATAACTTTAAAGGTTGTGACCTATCTGATTTAGGCTTGGTCGGCGATCGTTTGTCATTTAGTACCAAACGTCGCATCAATGGAAGCCAGACTAAAACAGCTTGCTGTAATCTTGGATGCTGACGAAGTTGGTTCTTCATTTTGCATTTCGATGTGCAATATTTTATTCAAGAAAAGAAAATTGTAGAGTTCTTGTATGACGATGTAAAATAACATGTAGGTATAAGATTAAAGTGTCAGTTATATAAATCAATTTTTAGATATTTGCTTTTTAGTTAAATAGTTTTGCATATCTTTAACTTTTGGAGATTTAAGATTTTTAAAGATAATGGTACGACTGCTATAGCTTATGAAAGTATTTGAGCTGCTATTCTTTACATTTTACAGGTGTTATTATTCGAAAAGGCAACTTTCCTTGTAATAGCACAGGCACAAATTGTCCAGCATGAAGATATTCACCGTTTTGAAAAAGTATCAAACATTATCAAACAATTCAAACTATCATGCAGGTTCTCTACTTCACATTTTATTATTTTAAAACTGAATGTGAGATTATAGCAGAATTTAAAATTTGTTAGTAAAATTTTTGTCGAGAGTTGCTCCTGCTCTTTGTCCTAACGTTCTTTTTTATCTCCTCTTTGGCTAATCCTTCGTAGTTATTTTCACCTCGCTCAACCGGTCTACACTCTCATTCCTAGATTTCGTTATTTTACATCCGAAAGAATTGGTATGTTTTCCAGTGTGTGTATGCCACTTGTAAGTAGGAACTTCTTTATTAAACTATTTTTCTTTACCAAAGTTTATTTATTTAGGTATTAATAATTATGTCGGTAACTTATGGGCATGGCTTGCTTTCCCTTCGTTTCTACTCTACAATTTGATTTCGTTACTCTTTATTGATTTTTTGTTTGAAATACTCAAATTTAGGTGATTATAGACTTGTCGTATAAAATTAAAATATCTCGGATATAAAGGAAATTTGTCACATAACATTATCTCTCATTTTTGAGAAATTTAATTTTAAAAAGTTTTCGAGAAATTTACGAATAATTCATTTTTGTAGCAAGCTGGGTTCTCAATTTGAATGTATGTGTGTACGGAATAGTAAATTTGCCGCATTTATTGATAGTTTTACCTGCAATACATTCATCATGGTGGTTCTGTCGGATGCAACTGTCTGTAAGTTATTTCCTTTATGCTAAGCGTACTGGATTTTCTGGATGAGTGAAGCAAATTATTTCAACTTTTTAATAAGCACTGCTTCCTTCAAGTAAAAGGAAAGATGTAATGCTTTCTGCCCAGGATCCTCGCAAGGAATTTGAAATTCCGCAATTCACTGAATTACGCAACTACGTGCCTGAAACAAATGAGAGTAGCATAACTAGTTTTTGTATAAAATTGCAGGATTGATTGCTGGGTATAATTATGTTTGTTATTTCTAATAATCTTTCTGCCAATTTAGCATGAATTATTCCGATTTAAAAAATTTTTCAGCATCCGCTGCAACATTAATGAATATAAGGAATGCTCGAAAACATTTCGAAAAATTGGAAGCTCGGTAGCGACTGTCGATCATAGTCTGTCAACATACTCACTGCCATGATTCATCCTCATCTGCTGTTCACTGTAGATCTATGTTCATATTTCGTATCTTTACTTGAAAGAATCACGATGTCACGATGATTTGAAACATAGTTATAATGGATGCCAGGATTTTTTAAGTTTTGCTTCTCTCATAACTTTTGCAGCATGAGTTTTTTGATCTCCTTTCCTAGATATTTGCTGATTGTTGGTCTATTCTTTGCATTTGTTCATTGGTTAATATCAGTATGATTTTCTTTTTGCTCTCACAAGCGAACAGCAGTTTTAGAGTGACTAAAACTGTTCTTTCAGAACTACAAGGTGCGTTGTATACCTCATTTGATGTGAAGCGGTACTAATAATATTCTCTTCTTTACTTTTTAGTTATGTCTTTAGGTCTAACTCCTGATTTTCGATTTAAGTCAGAAGTAATTTTACTCTGTTAGGGGTCGACTATAGTTTTTAAGTTTTTCATTCTGTTTATGTATCCAAAATCAAATTTAGATTGTTGTATTTAAATCTTCCTCAAAATGTGGAAATAAAAGGATGTCTTTTATTTCCACATTTTTCCACATTTCTGGTGTCTCTGAAACCAGCTCTGATCAATACCTTTCATTCACTTAATTTCTCAGAATAAGGATTAGTTTGTTGGAGAATATATGTAACCATGTATGTTCGTACTTTTTGATAAAGTATTCTCTATATTTTCAGCAAAATTTACATCATTATTACCTGTTCGAAACATTAAAAGTACATCAACATTTCCTTTTTAAGAAACTAGTAAATGTGATTTACGAGAAAGCATTGCTGATTCTTACTAATGGTTTAGACTGCTTTTCAGGGATGATATGGGATGTATCGTTATGGAGCGCTGGCTCATTTGTTCTTCCCGTTGCTCTTATTTTTTATTTCATATACCATATGGTTAGGTAAATCTGTCTTATATTGGAAAATTGAATTCTTTATTTTTTGTTGAAACTGTTTCTATCAGTAAGTTTTATTGCAGGCCTTTTTGGAAAGTAATTGTAAATTGTTGGTTTTGTAATGAGAATATTCGTGTCTCTTACTGCGGTCAAAAAGCATTCATTTGTCCTAAATGTGGACAGTACAACGGTTTCAAGGAGGATGGCGATTATGATCGATTCATTCCGGAACAAAAATATGAGTTTCTAAATCCAGCACCTAAAAAAAAGGTTCTTATTGAAATTTATAGTGTTAACAATGGTCAATGAATTACCAGACTTTTGTGGATATAGTAGCCATTTGTGTTAGAGCAATGATAGTTGCATTCTAAAATACGATAAGATGACAGTGTTTAATTCTAGATCTCTCTAGTTTAATCTTTCTTTTAAAGAGTTTTAAGATGCTTAGGTTTGATTTTAGTGTCAAAAAACATGCGTTCGATTTAGCTAGAGATATTTTTTATCGGTACATATCATCGTTTTATGGTTCATTATATTTCTGTCTAATTAACCATATATTCGCAATATTAAGATGAATGGAAATCGAGGATTAGTCACTACCAGTGGTTTATGTCAAAGATGCAACATGCAGCAGGCGCGTATTCAATCGCAAATCAACAAATTCGAACCTCGAGATGAGGTCTTTTTCTCATATTTAAGTTCATATTAATTTTTCCCCTCGATAGTTTCGAGAAACAAAAAGGCATGTTCTTTTTCCGACATACTAGGATTATGAGAAAGATCAAAGAAAAGTTGTTGTATGAATATCAATTTAGGACAGATCACAAAAGTGTGCCGTACTCCATATATTTTTTTTTCAACCTAACTTTAGTGGATTCCAAGAAATTGTGATAAATGGCATCAATAAGTGAAAAGAAAACGTCTATTCTTCAATTTTTTCACTGATAATCGATCGTTAAAATCATTCATACATATTTTGTTAGTTGTAAATTTCAATAGATTCATATGAAATCTCATTGCTATTTTTTAAATCAATAGATTTAAATTTAGTGCTGCATCTCTATAGAAGTTTTCCAAACTATCAAAAATAGTATTATTGAATCTTCAAAAATTTTTCTTGCTTCCTTCCAAAAACTGATTGGAAAAAAGAAATTGAAATATTAAAATTTGAAAGAATTATTCAAGTGAATAAATATATTGTTTCTAATTTTTTCAAGCATTTCTATTTATGCCTTTTAAATCATATATATATATATATATTATCTTAACTTACCTTAAATTATAAATATGATTAGTTATAGGCGATATTGTAAAGAATGAAATGAAAATGTTCAATTTAAGGCAAATTTTGATGGCGAATTCGAATTATATAAAACACGTTTGTATAAGAGCTATCCACTTTGCAGTGATTGTGAAAGGGTTGTACAAAGAAAATTGGAACTCGATAAGGTCGATTTCATATATTCTATATAATTCAGTTTCATCCCTTTTGCTCTAGAGGAATGAGAGAGATAATCAAATAATCAAATTAATCAAATAACAGTTTTAAATTTCAACTTTCTGATGAAATAGTTCAAAAATTGGAGGATGAGGCAGAAATCCCGTCATTTCCTTTACTGCGAAGTAATTGTAAAGTAATTTTGCGAAGAGAACTTTTTTTTTTGATTATTTTATTAATGATTTGTTCAACTGGATAGCCGCTGCTATTATAGAAATTTGGTCTAAATCAATTACAAATCGGTCGCACTGCTTCGATCTCTACTCTTGCCCATCGTTACAATCATCCTTCACAGAAATGCTTGTCTGAGGTACTTTCGTTTTGATTTCAGTTTTCAAAAAATCTTTACTGAAAAAAGTGTGTGTTACGCTTTTCAGAAAACTAATGAGCAATGAAATTCTGAGCTAAGTAACTAAAAACAAAGTTCCAAACGGTATAAGAGATAAAGTTACAGAACTAAAAATTTTTAATTTTAATTTGGCCAGACAAGAAACTTTTGACTGGAAAAGCTTTTCTTCGTGTCACTTTAACATTTGATTTATAGATCAGTGAAATACCACGACGTGGTCGCAGTCACCGACGCTATCCTGCAGCATTCTTCAATTGCGGACCTGTCTCGAACTGTTTAAATTTGATTACATTTTCTACTTCTTGCTGTCTTTTCGTCGTTTATTTGTTGCAACTACAGAACAACACTACTACTTATGTGAGTTTTATTACTTTATGAATGCCTGGGATTGCCTTTTTGTTAAGATATTTTTTACACTTTTTTAATCGAAACTACCAGCACACTGTTGAAGCTGCAAACAGTATATTTTAAATAATCCGGTTTTAGTTGATCGACTTGAGTCAGTTATTACCTTGTTATGTGCTGTCTTCATGGATACCATTTCTGATGTTTCATATTTCGAAAGTAATTCTCCTGGGCTTCGGTTCGCACATTATGTCAGTGATTGTAATGCATGCTCGACGATCCTTGCCTGATATCGTCTCATTTTTTATTTGGTTAGTGCCTGCTTTCAAAATTGGCATAAAGTGTTTGAAGAATATTTCATCAATCCGTAAATATTTACTAAACATTCATTTAAAAAATTGTTTCCTTTAAAATGGTTTTCAAAAAAAACAATTTTTATAATGTTCTGTTATTAATTGACAACAGTCAAATATAAGAAATGCAGTTTTTCATAATTTTGTGTTATGCATTTAATATGATTAAGGTAACACTTCGTAATCTTAACATAATGTTGTATAACACTACTTTCTCTATTCAGAATACGTAGAGATGTTACGTTTAAGCTTAATTAGTGAACAGTTTTCTTTCAGTTATGAATAACGTTTTACTCTGTATTCGAAATATTTATCTTAAGAAACAAATGCTGATTTTAGGTGTGTGTTGTTATTTTTAAAAAGTAGTGAAGATGAGAAGCAAGAATTGCTTCTTTCGCAGTTAATTTTCGTATCTATACTATGTATAGTTTCGTTTGCTGTTGCATTTTTCCCTCGAAAATTATTGCATCGAAAACGGCCGAACAATATCATACAAAGGTATCCATTAATATTGGCTAGATCGAAAATTAGTTTTCATTTATAATGATAATTGCTTAAGTTGTAGGCGACATGAATATTTTGGCACATGAAGAATTCACTCATATATCATCTGCGTAATAGTTCATGGAAATCAAAAAAGTTTCAGTGCTCCGGGTCTAATTAGATATGAAACGAGGGATAGTTTTAAACAACTGTCCTTTGCTAACAATGACAACTTACCCATGGAGGCATCCACATTCATCTATTTATTCATGCATATGTTCAGGTAATAGTAAGAATATGCGATCGTTTAAAACTTTGTGATATCTAATATTTTCAGTGCGTTTTCAATAGCAAGCACTCCAGTGTCACAGTGTAGTACCCTGTCCGCTCATACAAATAAGAGTGTATCCTTTTCGGGAAGCGTGCGAGATAGAAGTGTCTCATCTCAGGAATCAACACCTTCAAGAGAATTGGGGAAACTCTTCAATTCTTTATCACTTGGTGATGATTTAAGTCCTCCTAAAGGGACATCAATCCTGCAGCAACGGCGAGGTGATACTTTCAAGTAAATTATGGTTTAAATTTTTTATGTTTTTCTTAGCCGTTATATATAAGTGTTCTCACAAATCTATAGTGTTTTTCTATAATTTTTGTTTAAGCCATAATTATTGTAGGCCCTTTTGATTCTATGAAAAAACCGGTATTGGCAGAACCTCGTTTGCGAATTCGTGATACTCGAGAGAAAACGTTTTTGGATAGAGGAATGCATTTTCCTGCTTCACGCTACGTGAGGTCATTTGCTCCGTCAACAATGACATCAGTGAGTGTGACACCTCATCCACCGAAATTTACATTGTTTAATATCATTTGCATGTTGGGGATATTGTTGAGTCTAGTTTTAAATATTTTCATGTTTTACAAACTATTTTATTCTGCGAAACTATAGGTGCTTTTATTGTTTCTTAGGCAATATAGTTAAACTTATTATCTCTCCTATTGTTTACGTGTTCGATTTCTGTGTTAATGATAGGCGAGAAATGCTATTGCATATTACTGGTATTAAAAGCATTATGTTGGAAACCAAAGCTATGATGATTACATGAAATTTTATGTAGTGTATGGAATTAAAAGAGGTATTTATGTGATAGAGAATGCTAATTGACTTAATGAGATGGTTGATTTTTATGGATCGGAATCTTAAGTTTTTTTCAAATGAATATATTTTTTGCGTGTTTTTAAAATTTACTGATGCTTTGAGCTGGAGTGTGATAAGAGATTAACACATACAATTTGAATCAATATCAATACTAAATTTTCGGTGCAGAAATGCTCGATGTATGTTTCCAATTGGTAGCTTGCTAGGATTTACTTTTTTAAATACTTTTTTGTTTACTTTTTTTGAAAATACAAAGACTGTGTCACAGTTTGTGGCATTTACATATTTTCATGTTGTTTTTTAACCGAGATTCCAGTGATTTCCTTTAAACAGCTGTTATTGCTTCTTGATAAGTGTTATTATTCTGTTGTACGATTTTACCTCTTTATTTGAAGAAATATTTGTTAAATGAAGGACTCGCTTGTTTTTCTACCCGGAGTGTCAAATTTTTAACTGTCGGTATGAAAATAAATAAGTGAATGAGTTGAAGCTAAGATTGGATTATGATTAGAATTCTCAAATGTATAAATAGCTACCACCAAACCAAATTATAGGTATCAATGCAAATGGAAAGGGAATGCATATTCAAAACACCACCCTTTATAATGTTTCCACTCATTTACCCCTCAAATTTCTTTTATGTTATATTCCTATGGTTAATAACTGGTTCTAAATTTATTTCAGCATAGATCAATATAAACTATGTTTTCTCGAAAGGGATACCCAATTTTCTGCAATGGTACCAGTCGGGATTAAAATTACTGCGAGCTTTTGCTAACATGACAGTATTGCATCTTTTTCAACAGAATCTGTTTATTCTTAAAGAAGGTAACATTTAGTTGTTTAATTTAATGATACTGTGATTTAAAAGAAAACAGGATACTCTATAAGTATAAAAGAATCATTGTTATATGCTAAGATATTTTTCTAATGAATATATGAAAAATAACATAAAGGAATTGATTGACAACACAAATGAATGGAAGATTTGAAGATCTTCTTTTCATTCAAATATATTTGTCTCTGAATTCGATGATGCAAAAATCCTGAAACAGAATAGTAAGACATTTGTTGTGTATCATATTTATATAGCAGTAACAAAATTCAATAAATATTGTAACTCTCGACATTTAACTAAGGTGAGCAGGTGTTTCCTCCTACTGTGATTTCATCACTTCTCTTCAGAAAAGAATTAAAACTTCGGGATGGATTAAGCAAGCAGCGATTTAAAAAACTAAGACTACATCGCCATTAGTTAAGGATTCTTGGCTTATGTAGTACTTCAAGTTCTGTAAAGCGCATATGAATAGCAGCTACAATGAGAGCAAGGATAACATAAAGGAGAAATAGTATCTCGATAAAGTATTTGCTTTGATATAAGATTAGAAGAGTAGAGAAGTAGGTAGTGTGGGGAGATCAAGGCCGATCTTATAAATAGATATATATGTCATATCATTGGGTAGTTGTAGAGAATTTTCGGAATAACTTTTTCACTTTGCTTCTTCAGTCAATTGATTAGAATTGCTAGCATTTATCAAAATAAAATTTACCGGTTCATTGATCAGCCCCATCACTTCCCCGAATGGCAATGCTTTTTGTTTCCTTCGCTACAACATTTGTTCATTGTAGCATCGCCATGACTTTTCTCCTGATGGATATCACCAATACCATGGCATGACTCCGCACCTATAGATTGATCAATAACGGTAAAATAATTTTTTCCTTACTGAAACATTGAATCCCTCCCTAGATAAGAGTTTGATTAGCACGTTTATTGTAGAGGATAGGAAATCAGAGAGAAAGGACAAGAAATCATTTAAATCATACGGTCAAAAGGTCAACAGCGCATTAACAGCGCATGCTTACAAAAAATTACTAAGAGAAATTACCCATGCAAAATAAGCAAAAACCATTATCATTTGCTCTATTGGAATCATTATTTGCCATCAATTAGTTAATCTGAAGATTGCTAGAAGACTGTAACGTGAAAAACCGTTTTATATCTAAACTATCCAAAAATCACCACTTAAATTTAATATATTAGTCAGACACATGTGACGTAATGCACTCGAAATGTCGTGAAAAGAAGACTGCTGTCGTGTAATAAATGCTCTCATGTACTATGTAACAAAGCACTTAAGAGTTTATAAATATTTGTCTGTCAATTTGTGGACTTCATTAATTCTCTTATAACATTTCGAGAAGTACGAAACTATCACAGAAAATTATATTTAAAAAAAATCATGAAATTTTAATGAACAAAAATTGTAAGGTTTTGTTTTTTTCAGGAAGTTTCCAATTTACAGACTTATATCCACATTGTAATAATGGGAAGCATGAAAATGGTAGGCTTACACTTCGACATCTCTTTTGATTTATCTGGGCATTCTTTACATGTGCATTCTTTGCCTTCTTGACATCCTGAAAAAGATGGTAAAAATGAAGTGCAATTTTTTAATTTATTCCTCAAATATAAGCTAGTATAAGCTTGAATTTTTGAGATAAAGCTTTAGTTCCATTCCGAAATGGTATAATGGGAATAAATGTCCTCGTACAAAATAAATTCCCGCCAGATTTAAATAAATAATATAGTTTTAATAAATGGATGCTGAAATAAAACGCTCTAAAAACTCTATAATTACACTCAAGTCGTATAGTCGCATTGGAAGTATTATTAAAATTAACTATCTATTAATTTATTCTCATATTTTATTTGTTGTAATACATAATGCAGTAATCTGTTGTAAATTGTTGTAAATTGTTGTAAATTTGTAAACTGTTATAAATTTGTAAATTGTTATAAATTTGTTGTGATACGGTACTTCGACGAAAAATGCTTTAGTGTATCAACTTATTTAACCATGTTTCTACCATTTGCTTTTATTGCGCACTAACTTTTGTCTGATATTTCCGTCTTGTTGTTGGTCATAAATTTGCCTTTTTGGAGCTACAGATAGCGCTTACATTCTCTGTGAACATCAAGTAGATGAAGGACGTCCCTCTATTGTTATTTAATTTTTCTTTCCAGAGATTTGGAAATGCAAGATGTGAGCAGATAAAGTTCAAAAGGTCAAATGAAATGATGTGCTAGACCATCTGCGTGAAAAGACAATTGTGGACAATTTTTTTCTCGATTAATTGTTCTTGAGGCAGAACAATATCATTACAGTAAGTCGTCAGGGATTACAGTCTGCTTCGGTCAATTTTATGCATGATATAAATGTTGAATGCAATTAACAAAAAATAGCTGTCTTATTGATTCATCAATTAATAGAACAGAAAGCAAACAAGCTAGCAGCAACTCAACGAGGCAATACTAATTAACCGTTAGTTCTGTATTCATTGTTTTTTCGGTTCTACTTATCTTTTCAGCTGCTGTATAAGTAAAACCTTCCCACAGGTAAGCATCTGTGGCAACTCCAAGTTCTAATGAAATCATAGTGAAACAACCACTAATGATCAGTGGTACTATTTTGGGTGAAAATTAAGAAATTAGATTAAATAGTTTGAAAAAGCAAGAATGATTAAACGATAAAATAGAGCCATACCACATTTACACTTCATATCCGTTGATAACACCTCGGTTGCAGTCAACCTTCACAGATTACTATCAACAAGTCTGAAAATATGATAATAATTAGAAAAGATGGAAGGAAAGTGTTTAACGTCTTCTTATCTGTTTCACTGAGAATTGCTATTTATGTTGAAGAATGTTGACATTGTTATCATCAATGAAGCGCTCTTCTTAGTTACACCCACATTTTTCTCTTACCCTCTTGGTCTATTCAAAATTTATCAGCAACTCTTACCAAAATTGGAAAATGAATCAGCACTCTGTTAATAGAAAACGAAAGATGAGACATAATAATAATAATAGTTTCCAGTATTTTGTCTTCATCTAAATTCATAAAATTTCTCAGCTGATTACTACTGTATGATAAAGAGGAAATGATATTATGATTTAATGAGTTCTTCAACTGACTAATTTTCATTTCATTGCTATGTTCTTTTTGAATTCATAAAGGAAAAATAAAAAGTATGAGAATGATGAAAAGGAAGAAAATAAGTGACAAAGGTAAGTGACAATATAAGTAATTCATGGGGCAGCAGCATTTCATATTCTTCTCATACTTTATTTTCAAATTAAATTTTAGTTGAATCTTATATTTGATCAGATATATATTTGATGATCTCTTGATGACAACGACATACTCTTTCCCATCCAAAAGCATATCGGGAGAAGTTGTACATTCTGTAATTACTATCAGATCTTTCTTCCTGTTGAAATTTACAATTTTTATTTTAAAACTTTCTTGTCTCCATCTATATATCTCCATCTATATAGCACTATGCCAACAACGGGGATACAATAAAAAGTAATCCAAATTAAATACTTTTCAATATGAAAAGTAAGAATTGAGAAGAATTATATTGTTGAAAAAATGTTCCTATAACAAATAAGAGGAATAGTAGTGACCACCAACTGATAATTTCATCATCATTTTCATACTTTGATCTTAACTTTAAAAACAAAATATGATTGATATTTTTTTTAATCAATTATGTTTAAATACACCTACCAGCGGTAAGAAGAAGTATTAAATTAAATTAAATCTTCTGGAAATTAGTAAAAAACCAGAAAAGAAATATGAAAGTAGGAAAAAGAAGTAGAAATCATATTCTGTTACTTTCAACTCAATACATCATGAATAAACTTTATATTGTTGTGATTTTTAGCGAAAATAATTCGATGACTAAAAAGATTTGATGTGACAAATATAAAATTGCCA